AGTTTGAGACCAGCCTGCCCAATACAGTGAAACCCCGTCTCCACAAAAATTGGCCGGGTGTAATGCTGTGTGCCTGCAGTCTCCGCTAGGTGGGAGGCTGAGGCAGGAGGATTGCTTGAGTCCAGGAGGTGGAGGCTACAGTGAGTTATGATCACAGCACTGTATTCCAGCCTGAGTGACAGAGCAAAGCCCTGTCTCAAAACAAAAAAGTACCTCCTGAAGGGCCCATTTAGGAGTCAGAAACCTCAGAGGCACGGTCAGTGCAGGTAACCTCTGCCTACCTAACCTGGCTGGCTAACGTGCACACCTGTCAGGGCTGATTGGGAAGAATTATGTCTATGCCAGCGAGGAGCACCAAGAAGGAAGCTGTCAATGGCCTCCGAAGTCTTGGAAAGAGGAAGAGTCTATTCTCATACCATCTCCATCCTTATCTGTGGCTTGAGGCTTGTGTCTGGGAACATGAAACACACAAGCCCCAGCCCTGGGGCAGGAGAGCCTCTCAACCTTCCCCCAAATGCAACAGGTATGTGGGATGCAAATGCCCCTAAGAGAGAGATTGAGGACAGCTTTTTTTTTTTTTTTTTTTGAGACAGAGTCTTGCACTGTTGCCCAGGCTGGAGTGCAGTGGCACAATCTCAGCTCACGACAACTTCCACCTTCTGGGTTCAAGCAATTCTCCTGCCTCAACCTCCAAGTAGCTAGGATGACAGGCACCCGCCATGGCACCCAGCTAATTTTTTATATTTTTAGTAGAGACGGGGTTTTCACCATGTTGGCCAGGCTGGTCTCAAACTCCTGGCCTCAGGAGATCTGCCCGCCTTGGCCTCCCAAAGAGCTGGGATTACAGGCATGAGTCACTGCACCTGGCCTAGGACAGCTCTTTTTAAGGATTTTATTGTTTAGAGCAGTTTAGGTTCACAGCACAATTGAGAGGAAGGTACAGAGACATCCCATTTACCCCATCCCTAAATAAGATGCACCTCATTAAGGTTATCTATGTCAGATTCCTGAGAAACATGGGTTGAAGGAGTCTGTCTTTCCAAGATATTTTGCTTCTAAAACCTGTTTCAAAGACGATGACACATTTCTTTTTCTTTTTTGAGACAGAGTCTCACTCTGTCACCCAGGCTGGAGTGCAATGGCACGATCTCGGCTCACAGCAACCTCCACCTCCCGGGCTCAAGCAATTCTCCTGCCTCAGCCTCCCCAGTAGCTGGGACTACAGACGTGTGCTACCACACTTGGCTTTTTGTATTTTGAATAGAGACGGGGTTTCACTATGTTGGCCAGGCTGGTCTCGAACTCCTGACCTCAGATGATCTGCCCACGTTAGCCTACCAGAGTGCTGAGATTACAGGTGTGAGCCACCACACCCAGCCTGATTGTTCCATTTCTTAACTGGGATATGAATATGGCCAGTTCAAATTCTAATTTAGATGAGATACAGGTCAGTGCATATGGACCCAGCCAGGTAAACTCTTGCCCTGCCCAGAGCCCAAGGAGAGACAGACCAGCTTTCTGTCTCCAGTCTGCCTTCTCCCTGGAAGTACAGCTTGTGCAGAAAGTTCTGCACTTATGAGTTACTTCACAGCCACTTCTCTGTCTTGTGCAGTCCCCAAGGTCTTCTTTGTTACCTTTCCATGCCCTTTCACATTCAAGCTTCTAAGTAAAGGAAAACCCACAGAACCGCTACAGCGTCAACTTGCAAACTTTATTTCCGGCTTTCGGTACCCTCTACATAGCTGGCACCTGGAAACTTACTTTCCCGAGAGCTGAGTTACGCATCTAAAAGGAAGTCACTGGTGGTGGTTCCTCATGGCTGCTTGTTTTTGGTGGAAAGGTTTTCACTTCGTTTTTGTGTATTGAGATAGGGTCTCGCTCTGTCACCCAGGCTGGTGTACAGTGGCGTGACCATGGCTCACTGCAGCCTCAACCTCCTGGTAAGTTTCCAGGTGCCAGCTATGTAGAGGGTACCGAAAGCCAGAAATAAAGTTTGTGAGTTGACGCTGTAGCTGTTCCATGGGTTTGATTTTGTTTCCTTAGAAGCTTGAATGTGAAAGGGTATAGAAGGGTGACAAAGGGTAAGTGATTCTCCCACCTCAGCCTCCCGAGTAGCTGGGCCTACAGGCATGTGCCGCAGTGCCTAGCTGCTTTGGTGGTGGTGGTGGTGGTTCAGACAGGGTCTTACCATGTTGCCCAGGCTGGTCTTAAACTCCTGGGCTCAAGTATCCACCTTGACTTTCCCAAGTGCTGGGATTACAGGCATGAGCCACTGCCCCGGTGATTTTCACTTTAGACAGTCCACTGTATTGCCAGAAAAGGGAGTCCCAACATGGAAACAGAACTTTTGAGATGGAGTCTGGCTCTATCACCCAGGCTGGAGTGCAGGGGTGCGATCTCAGCTCACTGCAACCTCTGCCTCCTGGGTTCAAGAGATTTCCCCTGCCTCAGCCTCCCAGGTAGCTGGAACTACAGATGCCCGCTACAATGCCTGGCTAGTAGAGACAGGTTTTCGCCAGGCTGGTCTTGAACTCCTGACTTCAGGTGATCCACCCACCTCCCTCTCACAGTGTTGGGATTACAGATATGAGTGACCGCGCCCAGCAGGAAATAAAACTTACCCACTAGTTGATTTCGAGTTACCAGATGTCATGAAGTTGTTAGCTTCCAGGCTCAGGAATTCTGTAATATGTGACAACAAACAACAGAAGCAGTGGAGTGAGGTGCTGCAGCAGACCTCTGGTTTAATAATACGTTCATCTTATTCTCACCATATATCACAAACACAGAAGGGTATAATTTAGTATACAAAGCCTCCATAGATATTGTACATATTGTGACATATGTCTACAAATTCACAGTTGTGTTCTGTTCACCAGTGCAACTCAAAAACAAAAATTACCTGTCTGTGGCACAGTCAGGAAAACACCCCCGTGTCCCTCTGGCGTGGTTCTGAGGCTTTTTAGATCCATTTGTCTTAATGATTTCATTTCTTCCCATAGAGTGGGCAATAAGAATCAAACTCCGTCTCAAAAGAAAGAAAAAGCTTCCTACCACAGTTGTCTTTAAGTATATCCTGGCTGGGCGCAGTGACTCAATCCTGTAATCCCAGCACTTTGGGAGGCTGAGGTGGGTGGATCATGAGGTCAAGAGTTCGAGACCAGCCTAGCCATCATGGTGAAACCCTGTTTCTACTAAAAATACAACAGTTAGCTGGGTGTGGTGGCGCATGCTTGTAGTCCCAGCTACTCAGGAGGCTGAGGCAGGAGAATAGCTTGAACCCAGGAGGTGGAGGTTGCAGTGAGCCAAGATCGCACTACTGCACTCCAGACTGGGTGACAGAGTAAGATCTGTCTCAAAAAAATAAAAATTATCCTACAAAAATAGATCATTCTAGTACACCATGACCCTTCCAGCTTTAGTTTTAAACAGACTGCTTTTTTTTTTTTTTTTTTTTTGAGACGGAGTTTCTCTCTTGTTACCCAGGCTGGAGTGCAATGGCACCATCTCAGCTCGATGCAACCTCCACCTCCTGGGTTCAGGCAATTCTCCTGCCTCAGCCTCCTGAGTAGCTGGGATTACAGGCACATGCCACCATGCCCAGCTAATTTTTTGTATTTTTAGTAGAGACGCGGTTTCGCCATGTTGGCTAGGCTGGTCTCTCTTCTTTTTCTTTTTTTGAGACAGGGTTTTGCTCTTGTTGCCTGGGCTGGAGTGCAATAATGGTGTTATCTTGGCTCACTGCAACCTCCACCTCCCAGGTTCAAGTGATTCTTCTGCCTCAGCCTCCCAAGTAGCTGCGATCACAGGTATGGATCACAGGTATGCACCAACACACCCAGCTAATTTTTCGTATTTTTAGTAGAGACGTTTTCTCCATGTTTGTCAGGCTGGTCTCAAGCTCCTGATCTCAGGGGATCTACCTGCCTTGGCCTCCCAAAGTGCCAGGATTACAGGCGTGAGCCACCTCGCTCAGCTGAGTATGCTTTCCTTAAGCCACCAAATTGGCAGAATTTCATCCTGATATGGAACCTCTGCCTAGGTGGCATCGTAGTTTTGGTGGAGGGCTCTTCCCTGATGTCCCTCCTGGATGTTTGGTGGCTGCTTGATGTGACTTGGTGACAGTCCCGCCGTCTCCTCCTCACCCACGCAGCTTCTCTCTGGTGTGGAGCTGGTGATGTCGGGTGAGGTTTGCCTTCTGGGAGGTCTTCCCACAGTGTGAGCACTGGTAGGGCTTTTTCCCCATGTGAGCCTGCTGGTGTGTGATGTGAGCCCGCTGGTGTGTGACGTGAGCCCGCTGGATCGGTGACGTGAGCCCGCTGGTGTGTGATGTGAGCCCGCTGGATCGGTGACGTGAGCCCACTGGTGTGTGATGTGAGTCCGCTGGTGTGTGATGTGAGCCCGCTGGTGTGTGACGTGAGTCCGCTGGTGTGTGACGCGAGTCCGCTGGTGTGTGACGCGAGCCCGCTGGATGGGTGACGCGAGCCCGCTGGTGTGTGACGTGAGTCTGCTGAGTGGGTGACGTGAGTCCGCTGAGTGGGTGACGTGAGCCCGCTGGGTGTGTGACGTGAGCCCGCTGGGTGGGTGACGTGAGCCCACTGGTATGTGACGTGAGTCCGCTGGTGTGTGACGTGAGTCCGCTGGTATGTGACGTGAGCCCGCTGGTGTGTGACGTGAGCCCGCTGGGTGGGTGACGTGAGTCCGCTGGGTGTGTGACGTGAGTCCGCTGGGTGTGTGACGTGAGTCCGCTGGTGTGTGATGTGAGTCCACTGGGTGTGTGACGATGTGAGTCCGCTGGTGGGTGATGTGAGTCCGCTGGGTGTGTGATGTGAGTCCACTGGTATGTGATGTGAGTCCGCTGGTGGGTGATGTGAGTCCGCTGGTGGGTGATGTGAGTCCGCTGGGTGTGTGATGTGAGTCCGCTGGTGGGTGATGTGAGTCCGCTGGTGTGTGATGTGAGTCCGCTGGTGTGATGTGAGCCCGCTGGTGTGTGATGAGGCAGGAGTTCTGGGAGGAGGCTTACTCATGCTCTCTGCATCTGTAGGGCTTCTCCCCATGTGAGTCCTCTGATGCAGGATAAGGTATGATTTCTGGAAAAAGGCCTTTCCACAGTTGCTGCTGCCATAGGGCTTCTCTCCTGTGTGGACTCTGTAGTGGATGATGAGGCATGATTTCTGGGAGAGGGACCACCCCACCCCCGCATTCCCTGCAGCCATAGGGTTTCTCTCCCATGTGGGAGCGCTGGTGCTCGATGAGGCGTGACTTGTGGGGGAAGGTTTTCTCACACTCCAAACACTGGTAATGCTTTGCTGCGGCATGGGCGGTCCCAAGGACAGAGAGGCCTGGCTTCTGGAAGATCGTTTTACCACGTCTGCTGGCTCTACTGGGTTTCTCTTTTGTGTGAGTTCCCTTTCTGTTGGGGCAAACCTTCTTCCTGAAACTACCCCCTCGTTCACTGCATGCAAAGGATATCTTCCCCAGTGTGGACCCCGTGATGTACCCTGAGATCCAATCTGCAGGCGAAGGCTTTCCCACACTTTGTGCCTGCGTGGGGTTTCTCACTACTGGCTCCCTGACCTGCCTGAAGGCCTGTGTTACAGCTTAAAGCTTTTCTACACCGGTTACATTCAAGTGGATTCACTCCTGAAGGTGGAGTTTCAAGCTTCGAATACAGAAACAAGTTCCCATGGCTGTCACACTCAAATCTCCTCCTTGCCAGGTAGGCCTTAGGCGTGAGGTCCAGGTGGACTTTCCACACGAGTCACAGGTGTGACCTCCTGTTCAGAGGGAACGAGGTTTGTGTTCTGATGTTTTCCCCCAAGTTGCTTATATTCATGAAGCCCATTTTGGGTCCAGTCTTTCTCATCTAAAAGACAGCATCACTCAAATGTTGGTCTTGGTGTTGCTGTTGTCTATCTGGTTGGGTAACAACTTGCCAAACTTCTTCTAAAAAAAATAACACAAACTTTGTTGTTGTTGTTGTTTTGAGATGGAATCTTGCTCTGCCACCACGCTGGAGAGCAGTGGTACAATCTTGGCTCACTGCAACCTCCAACTGCCCGGTTCAAACGATTCTTCCACCTTAGCCTCCCAAGCAGCTGGGACTACAGAGGCCCGCAACCACGCCAGGCTAACTCTTTGTATTTTTAGTAGAGATGAGGTTTCACCATGTTGGCCAGGATGGTCTTGATCCCTTGACCTCCTGATCCACCTCAGCCTCCCAAAGAGCTGGGATTACAGGGGTGAGCCACCACGCCCGGCTGTTGTTGCCTTTTGAGATGGAGTCTGGCTCTGTCACCCAAGCTGGAGTGCAGTGGCGCGATCTCAGCTGGCTGCAACCTCCACCTCCCAGGTTCAAGTGCTTCTCCTGTCTCAGCCTCCCAAGTAGCTGGGATAACAGGCATGAGCCATCACACCTGGCTCAATTTTGTATTTTAGTAGAGTTGGGGTTTCACAATGTTGGCCAGGCTGTTCTTGAACTCCTGACCTCAAGTGATCCACCCGCCTCGCATCCCAAAGTGCAGGGATTACAGATGTGAGCCACCGCACCCGCCATACACTTATTAATCATATAATACTCAGTATTGTATCACACAATTAGTGCAGAAAGCCTTGAAGGGAAGATTCATTTTGTGATTTCAAGCCTCACTGGCTGTAATCTCAGCTACTCGGGAGGCTGAGGCAGGAGGACTGCTTGAGCCTGGGAGGTTGAAGCTGTAGTGAGCCGTGATCACACCACTGCACTCCGGCCTGGGTGATGGAGTGAAACTCTGTCCCAAAAAGTAGTAAAGGCAAGTACCTGGTCCTTCCCTTGAGGCCGAGGTTACACAAAGGCCTTCATGATCAGCACTTCCTTCGCGCTCCCCACCTTATGCTCCCTTTCATTCTGTTTACTGACTGGATTTTCTCAAAGCATGAGGTCCTTTTTTTTTTTTTTTGAGACAGAGTTTTGCTCTTGTTGCCCAGGCTGGAGCCCAATGATGCTATCTTGGCTGACTGCAGCCTCTACCTCCCGGGTTCAAGCCTGAGCCTCAGGAGTAGCTGGAATTACAGGCACACACCGTGTCACCTGGCTAATTTTTTCTATTTTTAGTAGAGATGGGTTTTCACCATGTTGGCTAGGCTAGTCTCCAATTCCTGGCCTCAGGTGATCCACCCGCCTCGGCTTTCCAAAGTGCTAGGATTACAGGCATGAGCCACTACACCCGGCCATAAAGTCCTTATTTATTTTTTGAAGATGGGTCTCACTGTCACCCAGGGTGGAGTGCAATGGTGTGATCTCAGCTCACTGCAACCTCTGCTTCCCAGGTTCAAGCAATTCTCCTGCCTCAGCCTCCGGAGTAGCTGGGACTGTCTGCGGCCATACCACCCTGAATGTACCTGATCTCGTCTGAGTAGCTGGGACTACAGGCACATGGCACCTCACCCAGCTAATTTTTGTATTTTAGTAGAGATGGGGTTTCACCATGTTGCCCAGGCTGGTCTCGAACTTTTGAGCTCAGGCAGTCCACCCACCTCAGCCTCCCAAAGTGCTAGGATTACAGGTGTGAGCCATCGTACCAGGCCATAGGTCCTTATTGTTAAGGAAATTACCTTAGAGCTAGAGGTCTTTTCTGCAGTGACTTATTCTCACGTGTACTTACGGATCTTTATGATGTCCAGCAGAACAACGCTAGAGTACACACAAGTCATCCTGGCCTCAGTCGGATTCCCTGCTGTCTCCTGATGCCTGTATTACCACTTTGATGATTTTGTTTTGGGAACAGGGTCTCACTTCAGCCTCAAACTCCAAGGCTCTGGCAATCCTCCCACCTCAGCCTCCCAGTTAGCTAGGGCAAAAGGACCATGCCACCATATCTAGCTAGGTTTTAAAATTGTTTTTGTAGATATGGGGGTCTCACTATGTTGCCCAGGCTTGTCTTGAGCTTCCAGGCTCAAGTGATCCTCCTGCCTCCCAGTTAGCTGGGATTATAAAAATTAGCCAGGCATGGTGGCTCATGCCTAGTTTTTGGTTTTTTTTTTTCCTGGTAGAGATGGAGTTTTACTATGTTGCCCAGGTTAGTCTCGAACTCCTGGCCTCAAGCTATTCTTTTGGCTCAGCCTCCCCAAATGCTGAGACTACAGGCATGAGCCACCACACCTGGTGTATCTTCATTTGCATTTTAAACCAAAGATGCTACCTTCTGCCTCACCTCTGGCGTTTATGTCCAGTCAAGGGTGTCACTCCTCTGTTAGGGGTTAGAAGTTCCTGGCCAGGTATGGTGGCTCATGCCTGTAATCCTTGCACTTTGGGAGGCCAAGGCAAGCAGATCACCTGGGGTCAGAAGTCTGAGACCAGCCTGGCCAACATTGTGAAACCCCAACTCTATTAAAAATACAAAAATTAGCCAGGCATGGTGCATGAACCTATAATCCCAGCTACTTGGGAGGCTGAGGCAGGAGGACTGCTTGAGCCTGGGAGGTAGAGGTTGCCGTGAGCTGAGATCGTGCCATGGCACTCCAGGCTGAGCAACCAACACTCTGTCTCAAAAACAAAAAAAAGTTCTGGAGCTGAACAGCCGAATTCCTGTGAAGCAAAGACCACCTGCTCATCTCTGCCATCAGATTTCTATGGTGAAACCCAGCCAGGGCTATTTTTAAAGCTCCCCAAGTGACTTTGCTGTGGATCACCAATTAATTAGCAGTGCCTTGAACAAATGCTGACAAAGAATCCTTGACCTGATCAAAGAGGGATTAAAGGAGTGCCCCCCAGAGCTTCTCGAAGAAACATGAACAAATGAAGTAACAACTCTGGCCGGGTGCAGTGGCTCACACCTGTAATCTCAGCACTTTGGGAGGCCAAGGTGGGCAGATCACGAGGTCAGGAGTTTGAGACCAGCCTGGCTAACATGGTGAAACCCCATCTAGGAACCCCATCTCTACTAAAAGCCAGGCATGGTAGCACGTGCCTGTAATCCTAGCTACTTGAGAGGATGAGACAGGAGAATTGCTTGAGCCTGGAGGCAGAGGTTGTAGTGAGTGCACCTTGTACTACAGCCTGGTCAACAAGAGCAAGACTCTGTCTCAAAACAACAACAGCTCTTCTCTCCATGGGGTTATACTGCCTATGGGAGTACAGCCCATTAGGCAGAATGGAGCCATAATACATGGTTTTGAAAGAAAAGGCATTTAAAAGTTATAAACAAGGTAACATACTAGGCTGGATAGTAATCAGATGCATGAAGTAGACAAAGTTGAAATTAACATGTAAGATCAGCTGGGCACAGTGACTCACACGTGTAATCCCAGCACTTTGGGAGATGGGAGGACTGCTTGAGCCCAGGAGTTCAACAATCCTGGGCAACGTCGTGAAACCACATCTCTACAAAAAAAATCTCGAAGATCAGCCAAGTTTGTTTGTTTTTCTAGAGACAGGGTCTTGCCCTGTCGTCCAGGCTGGAGTGCAGTGGCATGATCATAGCTCACCGCAACCTCAACCTCCTGGATTCAAGTGAGCCTCCTGCCTCAGCCGCCAAAAGTTCTGGGACTACAAGTGACAGCTGCCATGCCTGGAGGGTTTAATTATTTGACTCCATTACTGGTGCTAGCTGATATTCAATTTTTTTTTTTATTTATTTATTTTTTTTTTTTGTGAGACAGGGTTATGCTCTGTTGCCCAAACTTGGAGGAACCACAGCTCATTATAGCCCCAACCTCCTGTGCTCAAGTGATCCTCCCTGCTCAGCCCCATGATTAGAAGAGGCTACAGGTGCATGCCACCATACCTGGCTAATTTTTGTATTTTTAATAGAAATGGGGTTTTGCCATGTTGGCCAGGCTGGTCTCAAACTCCTAGCTGTCTGCCTCAGCCTCCCAATGTGCTGGGATTACAGGGGTGAGTCACCACGCCTGGCCCCTGAATGAGCATTTAATAGGATAGACAGTATCAGCTCCAGATAACCCAGCCCCTTTGTTTTCTGGGGCAGAAACTTGCTGATCAGCATGAATCAATGTCACCTGAGGGTGAGCTGGGAGGGAGACAGCAGTGATTTAAAGTCATCAAGTTGGCCAGGTGTGGTGGCACATACCTGTAATCCCAGCACTTTGGGAGGCCGAGGTGGGCAGATCACAAGGCCAAGAGATTGAGACCATCCTGGCCAACACAGTGAAACCCTGTCTCTACTAAAAAGACAAAAATTAGCCAGGCATGGTGGCACATGCCTGTAGTCCCAGCTACTCGGGAGGCTGAGGCAGAAGAATCACTTGAACCCAGGAGTCGGAGGTTACAGTGAGCCGAGATGGTGCCACTGCACTCCAGCCTGGTAACAGTGAGACTCCATCTCACAAGACATTTAAAAAATCAAGTCATCAAGTTACGCTAAAGGACAGGAATGGCTTTCACCATTCCAGTTTGCGGGTGTGATGAAGAGAATGGGGACTGAATTATACATGTAGCAAATATGTTTTTGGGGCATTTCATGGTGAAAGAAAAAGATGAAAAGTAAAACAAATGGCACAAAATAACAGCTATTTTAACACAGGGGAGATAAATGAAATCTCTGAACACAAGAGAAAGCCTGTTTTATAACCACAGGGAAAAGACTGAAGATCCTACAGGAAGACTTAGCAACCAAGGTCAGTGGGGACAGCAGAGCAGAATAAAAGGACAAATGAACACAGACGGTCGGGCATATGGATCATGCCCGTAGTCCCACCTCAGGAGGCTGAGGCAGGAGCATCCCTTGAGCCCAGGAGTTCGAGAACACCCTGGACAACATAGGGAGACCCCATCGTTACAAAAATAAATTTAAAAATTGGCTCAGTGTGAAGGCGTGTGCCTGTAGTACCATCTACTCAGGAGGCTGAAGTAAGAGGATCACCTGAGACCAGGAGTTGGAGGCTGCAGTGACCTATGATCACTCCATTGCACTCCAGTCTGGATGACAGAGCAAGACCAAGAAAAAAGAGGGCCAGGTGCAGTGGTTCAAGTCTGCAATCCCAGCACCTTGGGAGGCAAAGGTGGGAGGATCACCTAAGGTCAGGAGTTCAAGACTAGCCTGGTCAACATAAAGAAACCCCATATCTACTAAAAAACAAAAAAACAAAAATTAGCTGGGTACAGTGGCATACACTTGTAATCCCAGCTAAGCAGGAGGCTGAAGCAGGAGAATTGCTTGAACCCAGGAGGCAGAGGTTGCAGTGAGTCGAGATCACACCACTGCACTGCAGCCCGGGCAACAGAGCCAGACTCTGTCTCAAAAAAAAAAAAAAAAAAGAAAATAGACTATGCCTTTCTCTAAAATCCAGGAACAGGAAAGGAATTGTATAGTGATGTGTGCAAGTGGCAGGATCACTGAGCATCTCAACGTTTAGGGTCGAATGTCTTAAACAAAGATCTCAGCTGCTTGCAAAGATCTGAGGCTTTTTAAACAAATTTTTTTGAGACAGAATCTCGCTCTATCGCCCAGGCTGGAGTGCAATGGTGCAGTCTCGGTTTATGATAAACTCTGCCTCCCAGGTTCAAGCAATTCTCCTACCTCAGCCTCCTGAGTAGCATGCCACCATGCCCAGCTAATTTTTGTATTTTTAGTAGAGATGGAGTTTCACTGTGTTGGACAGGATGGTCTCGATTTCCTGACCTCAGGTAATCCATCTACCTTGACCTCCCAAAGCGCTGGGATTACAGGTATGAGCCACCACGCTGGGCCAAGATCCCAGGCTTTTAAGAACAGTTGCCTGAAGCAAGAGAACATCGAGCCAGGTGTGGTGGCTCGCACCTGTAATCCCAGCACTTTGGGAGGCCGAGGTGGGTGGATCACTCGGGGAGAGGAGTTTGAAACCAGCCTGACCAATATGGTGAAAACCCCACCTCTACTAAAAACACAAAATTAGCTGGGTGTGGTGGCGGGCACCTGTAACCTGGCTACTCGGGAGCCTAAGGCAGGTGAACTGCTTGAACCCGGGAGGCGGAGGTTGCAGTGACCTCAGATTGTACCACTGCACTCCAAACTGGGTGACAGAATAAGACTCGTTCTCAAAACGAGAGAACACTCATAGTTCTGCTTTTGTAGACTTCCAGGAGCCTCATCCCCACGCCCGTGCAGGCCGCCCGCTCACCTGGGAAGTGCCACGTGCCCATCTCCTCCTCCTCCTCCTCCATCCATGGCTCTTTCTCCTGCTCCAACCTGAAGATCACAGCTGGTTTGCCGTCTTGACACCCTGTTCTGGAGAAACAGTTAACGGATTTGTGCTGAGCCAGCTGGGCCTTCCCAGCAAGTGGACAGTTACTTCAGCCTGCAAAGCAAAGGTGGGCATCTCAGCCCCGGAAAAGCTGATTCACTTGGGAGGTAACTCCACAAAGACTCCAAGTGAGATCCAGACTCTTTGACTCTGAAACCCAAGGCCAAGCCCTTTTATTTTTGACACAGGGTCTTGTTTTTTTGCCCAGGTTGGAGTGCAATGGCACTATCACAGCTCACCACAGCCTCAACCTCTTGCACTTAAGCAATCCTCCTGCCTCAGCCTCCCGAGTAGCTGGAACTACAGGCATGCATCACCATGCTCAAGTTTTGAATTTTTTTGTAGAGACGGGGTCTTGCTATGCTGCCCAGGCTAGTCTTCAACTTGGACCTCAAGCGATCCTTCCATTTCAGACTCCCAAGTAGCCAGGACTGCAGGCACATGCCACCATGCCCGGCTAATTTTTTATTTTTAATTTGTATAGACTGAGCCTTGCTATGTTGCCCAGTCTGGTCTTGAACCCGTGGCCTCAAGCAATCCTTCCACCTCAGCCTCCCAAAGTGCTGGGATCACAACCACGAGCCACCACACCTAGCCTAGCACTTTGAGTGCATGAGAGGCTTCCCAGTTTTATACAACTAAGAAAGGAAAGAGGTCATGTAACCCGAGGAGCACTAGGAACTCTTCCTCACCCACAGAGAGCAGGTGGCTGCAGGCCTCCAGCATCACGTCCTGGTACAGGGTCCTCTGCTCCAGGTCCAGCTGCTGCCACTCTTTCCAGGTGAAGCCCACAGCCACATCCCCAAAGGACAGTGACCCCTGGAACAGCACATGGCTGATTAATGTTCAGCGGTTAGCAATGGGTACCATGGCAAAGGCATAGAAGAAATAGACCTTACCGCCTTCCAAGGTCACTTTCCCCATGTTAAGTAATATGGGAAGCTTAGTACACCCCTAACTTTGTACTACATTTTGTGGGAGAGAAAAAAAAAAGATTAGAAAAAAATCTCAGCCAGGCGTAATGGCTCATGCCTGTAATCCCAGAACTTTGGGATGCTGAGGCGAGCGGGTCACTTGAGGTCAGGAGTTCGTAGACCAGCCTAGCCAACATGGTAAAACCCCATCTCCACTAAAAATACAAAAATTAGCTGGGCATGGTGGCAGGTGCCTGCAATCCCAGCTACACAGGAGGCTGAGGCAGGAGAATCGCCTGAACCTGGAAGGCAGAGGTGGCAGTGAGCTGAGGTCCTGCCATTGCACTCCAGCCTGAACAACAGAGTGAGACTCCATCTCAAAAAAAAAAAAAAAAATCTCATTACTGGATCTCCATTCATTCCTTCAGTGATCAAGCATCTTCCAAGGACCTGGCATGCTGCTGGTGTTCTACTAGGCGCTTGGGGTCAAGGGCTGAACACAAATTGTTACTGTTCTAAAGGTGCTTAAATGTGCTGCTGCCAGATGAACACAGAACACAGCTGTATGGCCCGACTACACTGAAGGTGGTGGTAGACATGCAGTTACATACAGAATGGGCAAGAGGAAGATAGCTGCCAGATCCAATGTACTCACGTCAAGTGAAGTTTCCTAGGAGGTCACAGGTGAGCAGAATCAAAGATAAACCGTGATCTGATGTCTGAAGGATATTCCTAGCAAGAAACATGGCATGAGCAAAGGAGGCACAGAAAAGTCTGGTAGGAACTAGGAAGAGAATGAAATGCAGGGTATAAGGGGTGTGTGGGAGAGGGAGAGAGCCCATGAGCAGCTCACAGAAGTGACTGTGTAGGAAATGGGGATTCCCACATCATGATAATTAAGGAAGGGAACTACAGATGATCTGATGTGGAAAAAGGTGAGAGCCACCAGAAGGGAGGATAACAGAAGATCAGCACATGATTCTAATCCTCGATGTAAGATAGTGCTCAGCATTAAGGCAGCAGCAAGGGAAATGCAGAGAAGGGATTCCACAGATGCAGGACCAGGCTGGGCCTGCTTCATCCCTCCCATCCCCTCGCTCCATGAATTAGAGACCCCCATTTAAATATTTTCAATTTATACCTATTAGAAGAAAATACAAGAGGGTATATCTAGATATGTGTATATGTGTGTATGAAAGTACATATATGTGTATATATGTATATGTGTACATATATGTGTATACATGTATGTGTGTATATATATATACAGCTAGCTAGATACATATATATACAGAGAGAGCTCGCTCCTCTTTTTTTGAGACAGGGTCTCACTCTGTCCAGGCTAGAATGCAGTGGTGTGATCATGGCTCACCTCAGCCTCTCACCTCGATGCCCCCCACCCCACCCCAGTAGCTGGGACTACAGGCATGTGCCACCACGCTGGGCTAATTTTATTTAAATTTTTTGTAGACATAAGGTCTCACTACGTTTTGTTTAATGAAAGTTTAAATAATGGGAATGAGACTGGGCAGAGTGGCTTACGTCTGTAATCCCAGCACTTTGGGAGTCCAAGGCTGGAGGATCACTGAGGTCAGGAGTTCGAGACCAGCCTGGCCAACACGGTGAAACCTCATCTCTACTAAAAATACAAAACAAATCAGCCAGGCATGGTGGAGGGCACCTGTAATCCCAGCTGCTCAGGAGGCTGAGGCACGAGAATCACTTGAACCCAGGAGGCAGAGGTTGCAGTGAGCTGAGATTGTGCCATTGTACTCCAGCCTGGGTGACAGAGCAAGACTATCTTAAAAAGGTATGTGAGGGTTGGGGGGCTTTCGTCACTGCAGCAGAGATCAAGGGAGAATGCTGGCAGAAAGTGCTTGGATGGGTCCCCACGACATATGCTGCTTCAGCAGAGTGGTGAGGGATGTTTATAGCCAAACGGGTGATCCAAAGTGTCTCCAACAGTGGGGCAAGCATGTGCAGAGGAGAGGCAGGAAGCAGGGCACAGCCTGCGGGCAGCAGCCGGGACCGGGAGCTATGTGGGAGTAGGAAGAGGCAATCCACAAAGAAACCCAGAGCCCCAGTCACCCTAAGGAGCCTGCGTTCTCTTTCAGGCAACACTCTCACCTCTAGAAGACTCATGACCAAGCTAAAGGCTGCTGAAGCCAGTGACTTTTTTTTTGAGATGGGATCTCACTGTGTGGCCCAGGCTGGAGTGCAGCGGTGCAATCACAGCTCACGGCAGCTTCGACCTCCTTGGCTCAAGTGATCCTCTCGCCTCAGCCTCCAGCATAGCTGGAACCACGGGTACAAGCCACCTCACCCAGCTAAGTTTTTGACTTTTTGTAGAGGCGGGGTCTCCCTATGTTGCCCAGGCTGGTCTCAAACTCCTGGGCTCAAGTGATCCTCCCACCTCAGCTTCCCAAAGTGCTGGGATTACAGGCATAAGCTAAGCTAACCCGCCTAGTATCTACATAGTATATACATACACACACACACACACACACACACACACACATCTATGTAGTTTACATACATGTCTAGTTTATACACAATGTCTACGTAGTTAATATGTCTATGTAATTTCTATGTAATTCATATATAATTTCCATGTAAATATACCATTTCTATAGATATACTTCCCATGGGTTTATTTATGAAATAATATATAAAAAGTACAGAGACCAAAACAAAAGTGCTGGACAGGCAGCATTTAAAACCATTGTTATCTTCAGTGCACAGATTGCCCTAACAGGGAGGCATTCCCAGTAGACTTGGCTTCCTAAAAAACAGTGGCTTCCATGAAAAGACAGCAAGTGAAGACTCTAGTTTACAGCTTCATGGACAGGATAGGTGTGGCTCGCCACCTTGTTCCAGCCTCTCCTGCTGAGATATTTCTGGTGTGAAACACCGAGACATCCTTGGCTTCACAAAGCCCTGACAAAGAAGCCCAGGCCCTGTGAACGTTTTCCTTCCTGGAGTGGGAGCGGTAATGTTTGTTCACGAGGCCTCATCTTCCTTTAGGACCAACCCGCTCCTGCCCCTCTGCCATGTGCACAGCTGCCTGGAGAGAGGGCCTAATACACCTGGGCTAGGCTGGACCAACGGAATCTTCCCTGAAGAGCTTTCACATTGGACCAAGGAAAAGAGATTCAGCCCCTGATCACGGCAGAACTTGCAGACGCGAGAAGAGGAGCTGTGGCCATGCTACTTCTGGCCACATGGACAAAGTCCGCGTGAGAAGAAAGTCACAGAAGCAGGAACAAGATACCTGACGATACCTGGGTTGCTGGCTGCCTCCGGTGCCTGACTGCAAACCTGCTCTTCTCATGGCTTGGGTGCTGCCTTGCAGATTTTTTTTTTTCAATAGGCTCTCCCTCTGTCACCCAGGCTGGAGTGCAATGGCACAATCACAACTCATTGCAGCCTTGACCTCCTAGGCTCAAGTGATCCTCCTGCCTTAGCCTCCCAAATAACTGGGACTACAGGCATATGCCAACACGCCTGGCTAAGTTTTGTATTTTTTTGTAGAGACAGGGTCTTGCCACATTACCCAGGCTGGTCTTGAACTCCTGGTCTCAAGCAATCCTCCTGCCTCAGCCTCCCAAAGTTCTAGAATTACTACTTTAAAAAAAAATCCTAACCTACTTCTAGTTGGAGTTCTGGCTCTTACAACTTCAAGGATTATAACTTCTGACCAGTACACTCCACATTCACACATCCCTAGAACGTGCAGTGAAGAGGAGCAGAAGGAGAATGCTTCCAGACTGATGGAAAACACCGATGTCACTCACGGGCAAAGAAAGCTAACAGCCAAGTAACAAAAAATACAAAGGAAGTCCAGAAGCAGTGGCTTATGCCTGTCATCACAGCACTCAGAGTGGGCGGATCACCTGAGGTCAGGAGTTAGAGACTCATCTGGCTAATATGGTGAAACACTGTCTCTACTAAAAATGCAAAAATTAGCTAGGCATGGTGGCACACACCTATAGTCTCAGCTGCTCAGGAGGCTAAGGCAGGAGAATCGCTTGAACTGGGGAGGTAGAGGTTGCAGTGAGCCAAGATTGTGCCACTGCACTCCAGCCTGGGTAAAAGAGCAAGACTGCATCTCAAAAAAAAACAAAAACAAAAAAAACAAAATTATCTGGGCATGGTGGCACATACCTGTAATTCCAGCTACTCAGGAGGCTGAGGCAGAAGAATTGCTTGACCCTGGGAGGTGAGGTTGCAGTGAGCCGAGATCGAGCCACTGCACTCTAGCCTGGCGATGGAGTGAGACTCCTTCTCAAGTAAGTAAATAAATAAATAAACCATCATGGAAAGCAATTTCAGACAAGATCAGGTACTTCAGGGTGGTATGGCGGTAGGCATGGCAAGTCATTTCAGGAACACACAGTTCATTCATTCGTCTAGATAATGCCGTGTTACATCCAGGTCACGTGGAGCCACATAAGGCTATCCCTGTAGACCTGACTGTTCATCACTAAACAACCACAGTCACAGATGTCTGCTTTGGCATAATACCTGCTGTTTCTACACGGGGGGAGAAAAGTCACAAGAGATTGGTGGTGTGTTTCTTTCAAGGTGGCTGTGATTGAGGAAGGGGCCTGCTATATCTTGAATACAAAGATCAAATATATTTCTAAATGCCCTAAAGAGCTTTATTTCCCCTGAGAAGTAGACACGGTTGTCCAAAACAGACAACACAAGTCATATACTAGATGGAATCCACCTGCCTTTTTGAAGTGACAGGAACGTCAGGCATAAATTTACAAGGCATCTGGCCAGGCGTGGCAGCTCACACCTGTAATCCCACCACTTTGGGAGGCCAAGGTGGGCGGTTCACTTGAGGTCAGGAGTTCAAGATCAGCCTGGCCAACATGGTGAAACCCCCATCTCTACTGAAAATAAAAAAAATTAGTTGGGTGTGGTAGCACATGCCTCTAAAGAGGCTAAGGCACGAAAATTACTTGAACCCAGGAGGCAGAGGTTGCAGTGAGCCAAGATTATGCCACTGCACTCCAGCCTGGGTGCTAGAGCAAGATTCCAGCTCCAAAAAAAAATTGTATATATATATATGCAAGGTATCTCACAACTGTGGGAGCCTCTACAGTGTCTCCACCCTGCCCTTCCCACAGCCTCGATCTTCTGTTCTCTTCCTGTTTTCACTGATCCTGACTTCTGTTTGCATTGTGTATTATCAGACACATTTTTTTTTTTTTTTTTGGGACAGAGTCTTACTCTGTCACCCAGACTGGAGTACGGTGGTGCGATCTCACTCACTGCAGCCTCCGCCTCCCAGGTTCAAGCAATTCTCTTGTCTCAGCCTCCCGAGTAGCTGGGATTAAAAGTACCCATCCCCACATCACATCTGGCTAATTTTGTATTTTTAGTAGAGACAAGGTTTCACCATGTTGACCAGGCTAGTGGCAAAACCCTGACCTGAGATGATCCACCCACGTTGGCCTCCCACAGTGCTGGGATTACAAGCGTGAGCCATGGTGCCCAGCTTTCATCTGACACGTTCTTATGAGCATCCCGAATCCCTGCTGAAAACAAAGTGTGGTTGAAAGAAACGCCTCACTCACCTGGGACATGGTTCTTCTCTGCTGTTCTCAGAAAGCAGACACCTGTGAAGGCAGACATCGGGTAGGGAGACAGAATGTGAGAGGCCACGCTTGCCCGGGGGCTCCCAATCAACTGCTGGGACTGCCTCCCCCCTCCCCACCACCACCGCTCTCCCCACCCCGGGGCACTGGTGGGTGAAAGCCTTCTCTGAAGGATCCCCATTACCAGAGCAAAGCCCTCGCCTTGGAAATGTGATAGGGACTCAAGCTTATGAGGCCTGACTTGGATTTTTGTTTTCTTTTTGAGACCGGGTTTCACTCTGGGTGACTGCATTCACCCAGGCTGGAACGCAGTGGTGCAATCATGGCTCACTGCAGCCTTGGACTCCCAGGCTCAAGCTATCCTCCCACCTCAGTCTCCCAAGAAGCTGGGACTATGTCACATGCCCAGTTAATTTTTAAATTTTTCGGTAGAGATGGGGTCTCACTGTATTGTCCAGGCTGGTCTCAAACCCCTAGGTTCAAGCAATGTGCCCGCTTCAGCCTCCTAAAATGTTGGGATTACACGGTGAACCACCATGTCTGACTGGATTTTTTTCTTAATGAATATGTGTATCTGTGTCTCAGAAGTCAGTGTGCAATTTACTCCAACCCCCACCCATTGCCCCAGAAATGTAATTAATAGAAATTTGTTCTGAAGAAACAGGCCGGGCACGGTGGCTCACGCCTGTAATCCCAGAACTTTGGGAGGCCAAAGCAGGTGGATCACCTGAGGTCAGGAGTTCAAAACCAGCTTGGCCAATATGGTGAAACCCCATCTCTCCTTATAATAAAAAAATCAGCTGGGTGTCAGGGCATATGCCTGTAATCCCAGCTACTCAAGAGGCTGAGGCAGCAGACTTGGGGAGCAGAGGCTGCAAGGAGCCAAGATCGCGCCACTGCACTTTAGCCTTGGTGATAGATCAACATTCCATCTCAAAAAAATATATATATATACATATACATATATAGAAAACTTTTTGGGGGGGATGGGGTCTTGCTCTGTTGCCCAGGCTGGAGTGCAGTAGTGGGGCATAATCTCAGCTCCCTGCAACCTCTGTCTCCCGAATTCAAGCAATTCTCTTGCCTTAGCCTCGCAAGTAGCTGGGATTACAGACATACACCATCATGTCTGGCTAATTTTTTGTATTTTTAGTAGAGACAGGGTTTTACCACGTTGGCCAGGCTGGTCTCAAACTCCTGACCTCAGGTGATTCACCTGCCTCAGCCTCCCAAAGTGCTGGGATTACAGATGTGAGCAACCATGCCCAGCCTATTTTTTTTTTTTTTTTGTGGAGGCCAGGCACAGTGGTTCACCCTTGTAATCCCAGCTACTTGGGAGGCTGAGGCAGGAGGACTGCTTGAACTTGTGAGGCGGAGGTGGCAATGAGCTGTGATTGCACAACTACACTCCAGCCTGGGCACCAGAGCAAGACTCTGTCTAAAAAAAACAAAACGTGTGTGTGTGTGCGCGCGCACACGCGCGCCTTTTGCAGAGTCAGGGTTCGGCTATGTTGCTCAGGCTAGTCTCGAACTCCTGGCCTCAAATGATCCTCCCGCTTCTATCTCCCACAGTGTTGGGATTACAAGCCTGAGTCACTGTGAGTGGCCTGTTTCTTGTTTGTATACATTGACTACAAGCTATAGCACCTGTAATGAGTCTGTAAACATACATCTGTAAATAAAAATCCTGGGCCAGGCACAGTGGCTTATGCCTGTAATCCCAACACTTTGGGAGGCCAAAGAAGGTGGATCGCTTGAGGTCAGGAGTTCAAACAGCCTGGCCAACATGGTGAAACCCAATCTCTACTAAAAATACAAAATTAACTGGGCATGGTGGCTCATGCCTGTAATCCCAGCTACTCTGGAGGCTAAGGCAGGAGAATCACCTGAACCCAGGAGGTGGACATTTCAGTGAGCCAAGATTGTGCCATTGCACACCAGCCTGGGCAACAAAGCAAAACTCCATCTCAAAAAAAAAAAAAAAAGATTTTGAAGAAACACAGACTATTGGCAGTGATTATCTTTGCATGGTAGGATGTTTGGTTGGGCTTTTTTCCTCCTTCAGATAGGGTCTCAGTCTGTTGCTCAGGCTGGAGTACAGTGGCACCTTCAAAGCTCACTGCAGCCTCTGCCTCCCGGGCTCAAGTGATCCTCCAGCCTCAGCCTCCCAAGTAGCTGGGACTACAGACATGTAACAACATTCCTGGCTAACTTTTGTAATTTTTTGTGGAGACGGGGTTTCACTGTGTTGCCCAGGCCAGTCTTGAATCCCAGGGTCAAGTGATCCTCATGCCTCAATCCACCAAAGTGCTGGGATTACAGGCATGAGCCACCTCACTGGACGGATATTTTTTCTTAATATATTGGTATTTTCTAATTTATTAAATGATAAATTGGTGCTCCCTGTTTCATGTGCAAATATTTCATAAGAATATACATGTATCCTCATGCCTGAAATCCCAGCACTTTGGGAGGCCGAGGCAGGTGGATCACGAGGTCAACAGATTGAGACCATCCTGGTCAACATGGTGAAACCCCGTCTCTACTAAAAATACAAAAAACTAGCTGGGCATGGTGGCGCATGCCTGTAATCCCAGCTACTCAGGAGGCTGAGGCAGGAGAATTGCCTGAACCTAGGAGGTGGAGGTTGCGGTGAACTGAGATCGCGCCATTGCACTCCAGCCTGGGTAACAAGAGCAAAACTCCGTCTCAAGAAAAAAAAAAAAAGAAAAGAAAGAAAATATTAGCAAACCTGTCATTTTGGGAGGCTGAGGCAGGAGAATTGCTTGAGGCCAGGAGTACGAGACTAGCCTCGTCAACAGAGACCCCGCCTCTACAGGGGGAAGAGAAGACACTACTAGCAGGATACCTTTACCGCTGATGGAGAGAAACCAATCGGTGGCAGAAGGGAACGTCAGAAGCCTGCAACACGAGACTAAGTTCATGCTCTGTTTCTGGCTTTAAAAATGAAGGGACTGGCCAGGTGTGGTGGCTCACACCCGTTACCCCAGCACTTTGGGAGGCTGAGGTGGGCAGATCACTTGAGGTCAGGAGTTCAAGAGCAGCCTGACCAACATGGTGAAATACCGTCTCTACTAAAAATATAAAATTAGCTGGGCGTGGTGGTGCATGCCTGTAATCCCAGCTACTCAAAGACACTGAGGCAGGAGAATTGCTTGAACCTGGGAGGTGGAGGTTGCGGTAAGCTGAGATTGTGCCATTGCACTCCAGCCTGGGCAACAAGAGCAAAACTCTGTCCCCCCAAAAAAATAGAAATACAGATACAAAAATTAGCCAGTCATGCTGATTAGCGCCTGTAATCCCAGCTACTCGTGAAACTGAGGCAGGAGAATTGCTTGAACCAGGAGGTGGAGGTTGCAGTGAGCCAAGATGGCACCACTGCACTCTAACCTGGGCAACAGAGCAAGATTCCATCTCAAAAAAAAAAAACATAAAAATAAATAAAATTAATACAGATGTTCCGTGGGTGCTCACGAGAAAGACTGGGGCTGGGTAGACCAGAGAGACTTCCTTGGGAGTGAAGGTCTGGTGAAGAGATGTGGCTGCCGTGTGCCAAGGGAAACACACAAAGACCTCTCCAGAACTCTTCTGAGGAACAAAAGCCTCAAGCTGCCAGGGGAATGGCAGTCAACCCTGTTGCCCCCAGAGCAGAGGCGAGACCTTGTGCTTTCCCCCTCAAACAGGGCAGGAATATATCCTGGGCTCTGACTTGGAGATCTCCTGACACCAGGGGAGGGACAGGATCACTGTAACTAAGAGACCCAGGGCCCACCTAGGACTGAGACAACAAAGAGAACTTGTCCACCCACAGGCCTGGAGATGCAAACAGCAGCCGTCAACAGGAGGAGGGGGTTAAGAGAGGAAGGTCACTTACAGCACAAAGCCTTGCTAGGGAATTGTGAAGCTGGTGGTCCACTGTGGTAACCATGGTGACAAGCCCACCTCCCACTCGACTCCTGGCTGGACCGGCTCAATCACCCTCCGGGCCTCCCTGCTCCTTACACAGTAACAGCTCAGCAGAACCAGCCCATGTCCTAGTCTCTACTGTTGTCCTATGCACATCTAGCCTTCCAGAAAAAAAAAAAAAAAAGGCCAGAGATGGAAACTGAGAGAAAACAACCCACTGCAAAGAAGCAATGCAACAAACAGATGTTAATTTCATCTCAGGTCAGCATCAGCAAGTGCATGTCCACAGCAAGTGCGCTGCAAATGAATACAGAACCAAAAAGACACAAGAAAGAGAAACGAATACATCCTCCATCACAGTAAAAGATATTTTTTGTTTTTCTTGATACAGGGTCTCACTCTGTCTCCCGGACTGGAGTGCATGGTGTGACCTCAGCTCACCGCAACCTCTGCCTCCCAGGCGCAAGTGATTCTCCTGCCTCCACCACCCAAGTCGCTGGGACTGCAGGCGCCCACAACTACCACCCAGTTATTTATGTACTTTTAGTAGAGATGGGGTTTCACTATGTTGGCCAGGCTGATCTCGAACTCCTGACCTCAAGTGATCCACCTGCCTTGGCCTCCCAAAATGCCGTGATTACAGGCCTGAACCACGGTGCCCAGCCATCACCATAGTAAAAGATTTTAATACCATTTTTAGAAACTAAGATGTAGAATACAAAAAATAGCAAGGATATATAAGATCTAAGTAACAGGCTGGGCACAGTGGGCATGCTGTAATCCCAGCTACTCAGGAGGCTGAGGCAGGAGAATAGCCTGAACCCAGGAGGCGGAGGTTGCGGTGAGCCGAGATCACGCCATTGCACTCCAGCCTGGGTAACAAGAGTGAAACTCCGGCTAAAAAAAAACGATCAGATCTAAATAACAATTTAAAAGCCTGAGCTATTGGCTGTAGACAAAATAATGCACTCAAATGATGAGTGAATGTACTTTTTTTTGAGATGAAGTCTCCTTCTGTCACCCAGGGGAGTGCAGTGGCTCGATCTCAGCTGGCTGCAACCTCCACCCTCCTGTGGTCAAGCAAGCACATCCTGCTAATTTTTGTGTTTTTAGTAGAGATGGGTTTTTACCATGTTGGCCAGGCTGGTCTGGAATGTCTGGCCTCAAGTGATCTGCCTGCCTTGGGCCCCCAAAGTGCTGGGATTACAGACGTGAGCCACTGCACCTGGCCAGAAATACCCTTTAAAAAGGAGAGGAGGGAGCGCCGGAGCGAGGCTGGCGAGAGTCTCGGCGGGCAGGCGCGCAGGGCCATGGTCGTGGCCCCCTGACAGGCCGTGGCCGCCTCCGTGAAGCGAAAGAGCGAGGGCGGTAGACCTGGGCCACCTCACCCCACTGCTCGCGGCGCTGCTCATCGACCTCACCGGGCGTGAAGAAAAGCCGCATTTCCGCGCGGCAGGACCCACACCGCCTGGACCCCGAGGACGATGTGTACCTGGACATCACCGACCGCCTTTGTTTTGCCAATCTCTACAGCAGACCAAAGAGTGCATCAAATGTACATTATTTCAGTATAGATAATGAACTTGAATATGAGAACTTCTACACAGGTTTTGGACCACTCAATCTGACAATGGTTCACAGATATTGTTGCAAGATAAATAAGAAATTGAAGTCTATTACAATGTTAAGGAAGAAAACTGTTCATTTTTCCAGCTCTGGTCAGAGAAAGCAAGCAAATGCTGCCTTCCTTGTTGGATGCTCCATGGTTATATATTTGGGGAGAACTCCAGAAGCAGCATATAAAATACTAATCTTTGGAGCTCCATCCTATATTCCTTTCGGGGTTTCTTAAAGTGTTGCCTGTGAACTGGTGCCCGTCTGTGATGTTTTGTTATCAACCAGTGATGGGATAAATACAGAAGTTGAGGTGGAAGCCAGATGCTGTGCTGTGAGGACAGCCAGGCAGCCCCATGGAGAGGCCCATGTGGCAAGGCATTGAGGACGTCTGCCAATAGCTACATGGATGACCATCTTGGAAGACGCTCCAGCCCTGGGTAACCTTCAGATGACTGCTCATAGTTTGTCTGTAATCCCATCAGAGATGCTGAGCCTGAGACACTCAGCTAAGTCACTTCTAGGCTCCTCACCCACCGAAACTGTGTGAAGTAATAAATGTTTATCGTTTTAAGCTGTGAAAAAAATAAAATAAAAAGGAGAGGAGAAAAGGTCAATTTCCCTTATGGCAAATAAGACAAATTTAGTCTAATTTTCTGTTTTCTTTTTAGAAAATCCATACAGTGAGGGACAGACACTGTGGCTCACATCTGTAGTTTCACCACCTTGGGAGGCTGAGGCGGGCAGATTGCTGGAGCCCAGGAGTTTGAGACCATCCTGGGTAACATGGGAAAACCCAGTCTCTACTACAAATACAAAAATTGGCTGGGCATTGTGGTATATCCTTTTGTCCCAGTTAATCTGGAGGCTGAGGCACAAGAATCGCTTGAACATGGGAGGCAGAGGTGCAGTGAACTGAGATGGTGCCACAGCACTCCAGCCTGGGCAACAGAGAGAGACAAATAAGATACAGTTAAACTTTGGGAAGAAAGAAGGAAGGGAGGGAGGGAGGGAGGGAGGGAGAAAAGGAAGGGAGAGGAAGGGAAAAACAAAGGAAGGAAATCCATGCAGTCAAAATAGCAATAACCAAAAAGTTGGTAAAAGTAAAATAAATATGTTTCTACATATAATATTGCAGGCCAGGCACAGTGGCTCATGCCTGTAATCCCAACACTTTGGAAGGCAGAGGTGAGTGGATCCCCTGAGGTCAAGAGATCGAGACCATCCTGGCCAACATGATGAACTCTTGTCTCTACTAAAAATACACACACAAAAAAAATTAGCCAGATGCAGTGGCACATGCCTGTAATCCCAGCTACTAGGGAGGAGGCTGAGGCAGCAGAATGGCTTGAACCTGGGAGGTAGAGGTTGCAGTGAGATAGCACCATTGCACTCCAGCCTTGGAGATGGAGGCTGCAGTGAGCTATGATCTCCCCACTGCACTCCAGCTTGGGGGACAGGGCAAGTCTCTGTCCCCAAAAAATAAAAGAAATAGAACATATTTATATTTTGCCAAAATCCTGCCTTCTACAGGCATCTAGTCTAATGGGACTGGGAGAAATCAGGGCAAATAACCTCATCCCAATATACATTATAATAGGATGTCACTGGCGTGCTGTGGGCATGCAGAGGTGGGAAGATGAGGGAAGGCATCACAGAGGCTGTGGAGTGAATTGATGTCAAGGAATGGGTGGTTCCCTTCAGAACCACATATGTGCAGGACCCCAGACAGAAAACACACATGCAAAGTCGAGTGGCGGGCATTTGGAAGGAGCAGTGAAACCAAGCCAGGAGACACCAGGATGGTGAGCCGGTTTGGCTGCAGAGAGATTGTAGAGAGGGTGGAATTGGCACTGTGGACCTGGCCTCGGTTTCAAAAGACATCAGCTAAGGAAGCTGTTCAGGTGGGCAGTCGGGGGTCAGACCTGTGCTGCTTTGGAGAGACGTTCAGGTGGCACTAGGAAGCCCCCTGGCTTGGGGACAGGCTCCACGAGACCCCAGGAGGGAGCATTTGGCAGTGCATTCGAGTGATGCGATGGAGACCTGAATTATTATTTATTTGGAGACTCTGCCTCTAAATGAATAAACAAATAAAGCAGACGGGATAATGAGCACAATATATTTTACCGTAAAAATGCACTCTCAAAGAATACATGAATGACAGATCCACTATGCCATTCTTACACAAATCCCAAAAGGATTTTTAAAAGAAAATGACAATGTAAAATACTGTGAACAAACACACCTGAAAGGTATGTCCTCTTAAAGATAGGCAAAAATTAAACCCCATGGAATCCAGTAGTACATTTTCCCTGGGGATGAGCATAGATTTGCATGGATACATCTGCAAGGAATGTCTGTGTGTCTGGCAAGTTAGGTAACCTTTCTCTGATGTCATTTTCTCGTCTGTCCTTAGACACTCATATTCTAGGTCATGGTTAGGTGATGACTGCTGTTCACCTCTCCAGACTCAGCACCTGTCACTGCCACCTGGATGGTGTGGGAAACACCTGACCCTGCCCTGGTGCCTCCTGGAGCCAAAAGGACATTCCCTTTCCTCCCTGCCAGGAAGCTCAGCACATTGCTGCAGGGGTGCTGGGTGCTGTGGGGCCAGAGTGGAACCGAGTCCAAATCATTCTGCTCACTACACTGCCTCCAAGAAATCTGGAGAAAGAAAAGTGACTTCATTTTGGAGAGCCAGCAAACCAAGAACATGACAGGTGGATGTCCTACTTAGCCATCTTAAAAGGCATGAATCTCAGGCAGGCGGATCACAAGATTAGGAGTTCGAGAGCAGCCTGGCCAACATGGGGAAACCACGTCTCTACTAAAAATACAAATATTAGCCAGGCATGGTGGCGCATGCCTGTAATCCCAACTACTTAGGAGGCTGAGGCAGGAGAATCACTTGAACCGGGGATGGGGAGGTTGCAGTGAGCGGAGATCATGCCACTGCACCACTGTACTCCAGCCTGGGTAAAAGAGCAAGACTTCGTCTCAAAACAAACAAACCAAAAAAAAAAACAAACAAACAAACCAAAAAAAAAAAAACAGGCATTAATATAGAGGCCAGATGTGGAGGCCTGTAATCCCAGCATTTTGGGAGGCCAAACTGGGAGGATCATGTGAGCCCATTAGTCTGAGACCAGCCTGGCAACATGGGTAAACCCTGCCTCTACCAAAAACAAAACAAAACAAAACTTAGCTGGGCGCGGTGGCGTGCACCTGTGGTCCCAGCTACTCGGGAGGCTTAGGCAGGAGGATCACTCGAGTCTGAGAGGCAGAAGTTGCAGTGACCTTTGATCACGCCATTGTACTCTAGCCTGAGTGACAGAGCCAGAAAAAAATAAAAATAAACTTAAAAAAAGGCATGAATCTCAAGCTTCCTTTGATATTGGGGAAAGGGGAACAAGGAGAGGGCTGAGGTCAGGAGGCAACTGGTCACCACAGACATCTGGGTGCTGGCGGGAATCTGGGTTTTCGTGGGAGTCCGAGGAGGTTGACAAACTTTTTTTCCTTTTTTTTTTTTTTTTTGGGATGCAGTTTTGCTCTTGCCGCCAAAGGCTGGAGTGCAATGGTGGCACAATCACAGTCCACTGTAACCTCTACTTCCCAGTAGAGGTGATTCTCCTCCCTCAGCCTCCCGAGTAGCTGGGATTACAAGCTCCCACCACCACACCAAGCTAATTTTTGTATTTTTACTAGAGACACAGTTTCACAATGTTGTCAGGGTGGTCTCGAATTCCTGACCTCGGCCTCCAAGAGCTGGGATTTAAGGCTGCTGCTGCCTGGCGGAAGGCTGCTAAACTTCTTTATCCTTGGTCAGGTCACAAAGGTCCTCTACATCTTTAACACAACCTTGTTTTTTTGTTTGTTTGTTTTTGAGACAGAGTCTCACTCTGTCACCAGACTGGAGTGCAGTGGTGGCAGGATCTCAGCTCACCGCAACCTCCGTCTCCCAGGTTCAAGTAATTCTCCTGCCACAGCCGCCCAAGTAGCTGTGACTACAGGCGCATGCCACCATGCCCAGCTAATTTTGTATTTTTAGTAGAGACAGGGTTTCATCATCTTGGCCTGGATGGTCTCGTGATCCACCTGCCTCAGTCTCCCAGAGTGCTGGGATTAGAGGTGTGAGCTGGGACAGGGAAAGAGGGATGCGGAGACCATGAAGATGCTTTTGGATAATGCTCTGAGGTTGGGACAGTGGCAGGAAACACCATTAACCCCACAACACCACTGACCCCAGGAGATCCAGACACTATTGACCCTGGATGTCCAGGAAAAGAGACCAGCCTGGCAGTTACATGTGTTGTTCTTCAAACTAGTTGCCCAGTTGGAATGACCGATGACATCAGAGATTCCAACCTTCCTGATTGGACTGCACTCCGTGGGCGCTCGGAAACCCAGGTACACAACAGTATCTTCTCAGAGCTGTTCTCCACTCCTGACTTCTCCGCAGCCTTGAGAATAGATAACGCACTTTTACTGGTCCTAATAGAGTGTGGAAGAAGGCTTTGGACAGAACAGAAAACAGGTTCCGTAAGAGGGAACACAGTTTGGGAGACACCATGGCCAGCTGTCAACTGCAGCCGCAGCTTGAGGAGAGGAGCCCCCAGCCTAGCATCTCGGGGTATCCCCTCCTGGAGGTGACAGATGATGAACTGCCAGGAGTATCAGGTGAGGGGACTGCAGGAAGAAGAGATGGGAGAGGATTGACTAAGAAGAAGGAAGAGGGCCGGGCGAGGTGGCGCGCACCTGTAATACCAACAGTATGGGAAGATGAGGCGGGTGGATCACCTGAGGTCAGGAGTCAGAGAGAAGCCTGGCCAATATGGTGAAACCTTGTCTCTACTAAAATACAAACATTGGCTGGGCGGTAGTGGTGCGTGCCTGTAATCGCAGCTACTTGGGAGGCTGAGGTATGAGAATCGCTCGAGCCTGGGAGGTGGAGGTTGCAGTGAGCCGAGATCGCGCCAAGGCACTCCAGTCTGAGTGAAAGACTGAGACCCTGTTTCAAATAAAAGGAAGGGCCCACAAGTTGGGAAGAAGCTCCTGAGGAGGGTGTGTGGGAAGAAAGGAGGGACTCAGGCCAGGCCCAGTGGCTCACACCTGTAATCCCAGCACGCTGGGAGGCTGAGGCAGGCGGATCACTTAAAAACAGGAGTTTGAGACAGCCTGGCCAAAATATTGAAACCCCGTCTCTACAAAAAGTACAAAAATGATCTAGGTGTTATGGCGGGCACCTGTAAGCTGAGCTACTTGGGAGGCTGAGGCAGGAGAATCACTGGAACCCAGGAGATGAAGGTTGCAGTGAGCTAAGAAGCCACCACTACTCTCCAGCTTGGGTGACAAAGCAAGACTCTGTCTTAAAAAAAAAAAAAAAAAAGAGGGACTCAGAGAGCCAGGGACCACGGAAGGAAATGAGGAAGCATTCTGAGGAGAAATGGAAGAATGGGGAGGAGGAGAGGCACAAGGGGTTCAGCAAGGGAGAAGCCAGCAGCCTGTGGGGCTGGGAGGATGGAGAGCGGTTTGGGGTTTTGGGTCGGGGTCTAAGGTGATCAACTGCAGAATCGTTAATTACACCGTGGCCTGCTTTCTTTACTCAGTCCCTTGGGTAGATCCCGGCACCCCGAGTAAGTTCCTTTATCGGAACATGAAGAGGGAGTGGTCGGACGAATCTAAGGAGGAGCCCAAGGAGGAGACAGACAAGAAGCCTGAGGAGACCTGGGTGCTGGACCCCCTGTCTGGGCTCAAGATTGAGTTAAAGCAAGAGCCAGTGTCACCCGTGCTCCCTGAGGACTACAAGGCTTTCAACACGCTGCCTGGTAAGAGGACACCCCAGAGAGCACCTCCAATCCTGTTCTTTTAAAAAAGAAGCTTCCCATAACTACACTTTTCACATGGGAAAAATATGCCCCGCAGTGGGTGAGCTCTCCATGCAGGAGGACTTGACGTTCCGAAGCATCACTTATGAGGGACGCTTAGGAGGCCATAGAGGACTCGGCTAGACTTGATAAGGGTCTGTGATTGGGATAAGAAAGTCTGGTCTCAGGCTAGGCGTTGTGGCTCATGCCTGAGATCCCAGCACATTGGGAGGCTGAGGCAAGAGCATCGCTTGAACTCAGGACTTGGAGGCTGCAGTGAGCTATGACTGCACCACTGCACTCCAGCCTGGGTGACAGTGCAAAACCCTGTCTCAGAAAAACAAAGGCCAGGCACGGTAGCTCATGCCTGTAATCCCAGCACTTTGGGAGGCCAAGGTGGGTAGATCACCTGAGGTCAGGAGTTGGAGACCAGCCTGACCAACATGGTGAAACCCTGTCGCTACTCAACATAAAAAATTAGACAGGTGTGGTGGCGCAAGCCTGTAATCCCAGCTACTCAGGAGGCTGAGGCAGGAGAATCACTTGAACCGGGGAGGCAGAGGTTGCAAGTGAGCCGAGATGGTGCCACTGCATTCCAGCCTGGGTGACACAGTGAGACTCTGTCTCCAAAAAATAAATAAAAATAAAGACAAAATAAAAAAACACAGAAAGCACTTTCAGCTGTGCGCTCTGAAACTTAATGTCTCTTGCTGAATTTATTTGCTTTTTAGAGGCAGTCTTGCCCTATCACCCAGGCTGGACTGCAATGGTGTGATCTTGGCTCACTACAACCTCCGCCTCCTGGATGTAAGCGACTATCCTGCCTCAGCGTCCCGAGTAGCTGGGATTACAGGCCAGGATCACACCACGCTGGCTAATTTTTTATATTTTTAGTAGAGACGAGGTTTCACTGTGGTAGCCATGATGGCCTTGAACTCCTGACCTCATGCTCGCCTCGGCTTCCCAAAGTGCTGGGATTACAGACATGAGCCACCATGCCCACCTCCTATGTTTGTCTTCAACCTGGCTGCCAGCTTGGAATAACCAGTGACATGAGAGATTCCAGTCTTCCTGATGGACTGAACTTTGTTGGCACTTGGGAGCTCAGGTGGACGACAGCATCTTCTCAGAGCTGTTCTCCACTCCCTCCCGACTGCTACCCAGCCTTGAGAATACAGAGTGCACTCTTCTGGGTCCTAGTCGAGTCTGGAAGAAGGCTTTGGATAGAACAGGGACTAGGTTCCGTGGGAGGGAACAGAGTTTGGGAGAGATCATGGCTAGATGTCAACCGCAGCCACAGGTTGAGGAGAGGAGCCCCGAGCCTAGCACCTTGGGGTGCTCCCTCTGGAGGTGGTAGATGATGAAGTGCCCGGACCATCAGGTGAGGGGACTGCAGGAAGAAGAGATGGGAGAGGATTGACGAAGAGGAAGGAAGAGGGCCGGGCGAGGTGGCGCGTACCTGTAATACCAACAGTATGGGAAGATGAGGCGGGTGGATCACCTGAGGTCAGGAGTCAGAGAGAAGCCTGGCCAATATGGTGAAACCTTGTCTCTACTAAAATACAAACATTGGCTGGGCGGTAGTGGTGCGTGCCTGTAATCGCAGCTACTTGGGAGGCTGAGGTATGAGAATCGCTCGAGCCTGGGAGGTGGAGGTTGCAGTGAGCCGAGATCGCGCCAAGGCACTCCAGTCTGAGTGAAAGACTGAGACCCTGTTTCAAATAAAAGGAAGGGCCCACAAGTCGGGAAGAAGCTCCTGAGGAGGGTGTTTGGGAAGAAAGGAGGGACTCAGGCCAGGCCCAGTGGCTCACACCTGTAATCCCAGCACGCTGGGAGGCTGAGGCAGGCGGATCACTTAAAAACAGGAGTTTGAGACAGCCTGGCCAACATATTGAAACCCCGTCTCTACAAAAAGCACAAAAATGATCTAGGTGTTATGGCGGGCACCTGTAAGCCGAGCTACTTGGGAGGCTGAGGCAGGAGAATCACTGGAACCCAGGAGATGAAGGCTGCAGTGAGCTAAAAAGCCACCACTACACTCCACCTTGGGTGACAAAGCAAGACTCTGTCTTAAAAAAAAAAAAAAAAAAGAGGGACTCAGAGAGCCAGGGACCAGGGAAGGAAATGAGGAAGCATTCTGAGGAGAAATGGAAGAATGGGGAGGAGGAGAGGCACATGGGGTTCAGCAAGGGAGAAGCCAGCAGCCTGAGGGGCTGGGAGGATGGAGAGCGGTTTGGGGTTTTGGGTCGCGGTCTAAGGTGATCAACTGCAGAATCGTTAATTACACCGTGGCCTGCTTTCTTTACTCAATCCCTTGGGTAGATCCCGACACCCCGAGTAAGTTCCTTTACCGGAACATGAAGAGGGAGTGGTCGGACGAATCTAAGGAGGAGCCCAAGGAGGAGACAGACAAGAAGCCTGAGGAGACCTGGGTGCTGGACCCCCTGTCTGGGCTCAAGATTGAGTTAAAGCAAGAGCCAGTGTCACCCGTGCTCCCTGAGGACTACAAGGCTTTCAACATGCTGCCTGGTAAGAGGACACCGCAGAGAGCACCTCCAATCCTGTTCTTTTAAAAAAGAAGCTTCCCATAACTACACTTTTCACATGGGAAAAATATGCCCCGCAGTGGGTGAGCTCTCCATGCAGGAGGACTTGACGTTCCGAAGCATCACTTATGAGGGACGCTTAGGAGGCCATAGAGGACTCGGCTAGACTTGATAAGGGTCTGTGATTGGGATAAGAAAGTCTGGTCTCAGGCTAGGCGTTGTGGCTCATGCCGGAGATCCCAGCACATTGGGAGGCTGAGGCAAGAGCATCGCTTGAACTCAGGACTTGGAGGCTACAGTGAGCTATGACTGCACCACTGCACTCCAGCCTGGGTGACAGTGCAAAACCCTGTCTCAGAAAAACAAAGGCCAGGCACGGTAGCTCATGCCTGTAATCCCAGCACTTTGGGAGGCCAAGGTGGGTAGATCACCTGAGGTCAGGAGTTGGAGACCAGCCTGACCAACATGGTGAAACCCTGTCGCTACTCAACATAAAAAATTAGACAGGTGTGGTGGCGCAAGCCTGTAATCCCAGCTACTCAGGAGGCTGAGGCAGGAGAATCACTTGAACCGGGGAGGCAGAGGTTGCAAGTGAGCCGAGATGGTGCCACTGCATTCCAGCCTGGGTGACACAGTGAGACTCTGTCTCCAAAAAATAAATAAAAATAAAGACAAAATAAAAAAACACAGAAAGCACTTTCAGCTGTGCGCTCTGAAACTTAATGTCTCTTGCTGAATTTATTTGCTTTTTAGAGGCAGTCTTGCCCTATCACCCAGCTGGACTGCAATGGTGTGATCTCATGCCTCAGCTGAGGTCAGGTTGAACTCCTGACCTCATGCTCGCCTCGGCTTCCCAAAGTGCTGGGATTACAGACATGAGCCACCATGCCCACCTCCTATGTTTGCCTTCAAACTGGCTGCCAGCTTGGAATAACCAGTGACATGAGAGATTCCAGTCTTCCTGATGGACTGAACTTTGTTGGCACTTGGGAGCTCAGGTGGACGACAGCATCTTCTCAGAGCTGTTCTCCACTCCCTCCCGACTGCTACCCAGCCTTGAGAATACAGAGTGCACTCTTCTGGGTCCTAGTCGAGTCTGGAAGAAGGCTTTGGATAGAACAGGGACTAGGTTCCGTGGGAGGGAACAGAGTTTGGGAGAGATCATGGCTAGATGTCAACCGCAGCCACAGGTTGAGGAGAGGAGCCCCGAGCCTAGCACCTTGGGGTGCTCCCTCTGGAGGTGGTAGATGATGAAGTGCCCGGACCATCAGGTGAGGGGACTGCAGGAAAAAGAGATGGGAGACTAAGAAGAAGGAAGAGGGCCGGGCGAGGTGGCGCGCACCTGTAATACCAACAGTATGGGAAGATGAGGCGGGTGGATCACCTGAGGTCAGGAGTCAGAGAGAAGCCTGGCCAATATGGTGAAACCTTGTCTCTACTAAAATACAAACATTGGCTGGGCGGTAGTGGTGCGTGCCTGTAATCGCAGCTACTTGGGAGGCTGAGGTATGAGAATCGCTCGAGCCTGGGAGGTGGAGGTTGCAGTGAGCCGAGATCGCGCCAAGGCACTCCAGTCTGAGTGAAAGACTGAGACCCTGTTTCAAATAAAAGGAAGGGCCCACAAGTCGGGAAGAAGCTCCTGAGGAGGGTGTGTGGGAAGAAAGGAGGGACTCAGGCCAGGCCCAGTGGCTCACACCTGTAATCACAGCACGCTGGGAGGCTGAGGCAGGCGGATCACTTAAAAACAGGAGTTTGAGACAGCCTGGCCAACATATTGAAACCCCGTCTCTACAAAAAGCACAAAAATGATCTAGGTGTTATGGCGGGCACCTGTAAGCCCAGCTACTTGGGAGGCTGAGGCAGGAGAATCACTGGAACCCAGGAGATGAAGGCTGCAGTGAGCTAAAAAGCCACCACTACACTCCACCTTGGGTGACAAAGCAAGACTCTGTCTTAAAAAAAAAAAAAAAAAGAGGGACTCAGAGAGCCAGGGACCAGGGAAGGAAATGAGGAAGCATTCTGAGGAGAAATGGAAGAATGGGGAGGAGGAGAGGCACATGGGGTTCAGCAAGGGAGAAGCCAGCAGCCTGAGGGGCTGGGAGGATGGAGAGCGGTTTGGGGTTTTGGGTCGCGGTCTAAGGTGATCAACTGCAGAATCGTTAATTACACCGTGGCCTGCTTTCCTTACTCAATCCCTTGGGTAGATCCCGACACCCCGAGTAAGTTCCTTTACCGGAACATGAAGAGGGAGTGGTCGGACGAATCTAAGGAGGAGCCCAAGGAGGAGACAGACAAGAAGCCTGAGGAGACCTGGGTGCTGGACCCCCTGTCTGGGCTCAAGATTGAGTTAAAGCAAGAGCCAGTGTCACCCGTGCTCCCTGAGGACTACAAGGCTTTCAACATGCTGCCTGGTAAGAGGACACCCCAGAGAGCACCTCCAATCCTGTTCTTTTAAAAAAGAAGCTTCCCATAACTACACTTTTCACATGGGAAAAATATCCCCCACAGTGGGTGAGCTCTCCATGCAGGAGGACTTGACGTTCCGAAGCATCACTTATGAGGGACGCTTAGGAGGCCATAGAGGACTCGGCTAGACTTGATAAGGGTCTGTGACTGGGATAAGAAAGCCTGGTCTCAGGCTAGGCGTTGTGGCTCATGCCTGAGATCCCAGCACATTGGGAGGCTGAGGCAAGAGCATCGCTTGAACTCAGGACTTGGAGGCTGCAGTGAGCTATGACTGCACCACTGCACTCCAGCCTGGGTGACAGTGCAAAACCCTGTCTCAGAAAAACAAAGGCCAGGCACGGTAGCTCATGCCTGTAATCCCAGCACTTTGGGAGGCCAAGGTGGGTAGATCACCTGAGGTCAGGAGTTGGAGACCAGCCTGACCAACATGGTGAAACCCTGTCGCTACTCAACATAAAAAATTAGACAGGTGTGGTGGCGCAAGCCTGTAATCCCAGCTATTCAGGAGGCTGAGGCAGGAGAATCACTTGAACCGGGGAGGCAGAGGTTGCAAGTGAGCCGCGATGGTGCCACTGCATTCCAGCCTGGGTGACACAGTGAGACTCTGTCTCCAAAAAATAAATAAAAATAAAGACAAAATAAAAAAACACAGAAAGCAGCTTCAGCTGTGCGCTCTGAAACTTAATGTCTCTTGCTGAATTTATTTGCTTTTTAGAGGCAGTCTTGCCCCATCACCCAGGCTGGACTGCAATGGTGTGATCTTGGCTCACTACAACCTCCGCCTCCTGGATGTAAGCGACTATCCTGCCTCAGCGTCCCGAGTAGCTGGGATTACAGGCCAGGATCACACCACGCTGGCTAATTTTTTATATTTTTAGTAGAGACACGGTTTCACTGTGGTAGCCAGGATGGCCTTGAACTCCTGACCTCATGCTCGCCTCGGCTTCCCAAAGTGCTGGGATTACAGACATGAGCCACCATGCCCACCTCCTATGTTTGTCTTCAACCTGGCTGCCAGCTTGGAATAACCAGTGACATGAGAGATTCCAGTCTTCCTGATGGACTGAACTTTGTTGGCACTTGGGAGCTCAGGTGGACGACAGCATCTTCTCAGAGCTGTTCTCCACTCCCTCCCGACTGCTACCCAGCCTTGAGAATACAGAGTGCACTCTTCTGGGTCCTAGTCGAGTCTGGAAGAAGGCTTTGGATAGAACAGGGACTAGGTTCCGTGGGAGGGAACAGAGTTTGGGAGAGATCATGGCTAGATGTCAACCGCAGCCACAGGTTGAGGAGAGGAGCCCCGAGCCTAGCACCTTGGGGTGCTCCCTCTGGAGGTGGTAGATGATGAAGTGCCCGGACCATCAGGTGAGGGGACTGCAGGAAGAAGAGATGGGAGAGGATTGACGAAGAGGAAGGAAGAGGGCCGGGCGAGGTGGCGCGTACCTGTAATACCAACAGTATGGGAAGATGAGGCGGGTGGATCACCTGAGGTCAGGAGTCAGAGAGAAGCCTGGCCAATATGGTGAAACCTTGTCTCTACTAAAATACAAACATTGGCTGGGCGGTAGTGGTGCGTGCCTGTAATCGCAGCTACTTGGGAGGCTGAGGTATGAGAATCGCTCGAGCCTGGGAGGTGGAGGTTGCAGTGAGCCGAGATCGCGCCAAGGCACTCCAGTCTGAGTGAAAGACTGAGACCCTGTTTCAAATAAAAGGAAGGGCCCACAAGTCGGGAAGAAGCTCCTGAGGAGGGTGTTTGGGAAGAAAGGAGGGACTCAGGCCAGGCCCAGTGGCTCACACCTGTAATCCCAGCACGCTGGGAGGCTGAGGCAGGCGGATCACTTAAAAACAGGAGTTTGAGACAGCCTGGCCAACATATTGAAACCCCGTCTCTACAAAAAGCACAAAAATGATCTAGGTGTTATGGCGGGCACCTGTAAGCCGAGCTACTTGGGAGGCTGAGGCAGGAGAATCACTGGAACCCAGGAGATGAAGGCTGCAGTGAGCTAAAAAGCCACCACTACACTCCACCTTGGGTGACAAAGCAAGACTCTGTCTTAAAAAAAAAAAAAAAAAAGAGGGACTCAGAGAGCCAGGGACCAGGGAAGGAAATGAGGAAGCATTCTGAGGAGAAATGGAAGAATGGGGAGGAGGAGAGGCACATGGGGTTCAGCAAGGGAGAAGCCAGCAGCCTGAGGGGCTGGGAGGATGGAGAGCGGTTTGGGGTTTTGGGTCGCGGTCTAAGGTGATCAACTGCAGAATCGTTAATTACACCGTGGCCTGCTTTCTTTACTCAATCCCTTGGGTAGATCCCGACACCCCGAGTAAGTTCCTTTACCGGAACATGAAGAGGGAGTGGTCGGACGAATCTAAGGAGGAGCCCAAGGAGGAGACAGACAAGAAGCCTGAGGAGACCTGGGTGCTGGACCCCCTGTCTGGGCTCAAGATTGAGTTAAAGCAAGAGCCAGTGTCACCCGTGCTCCCTGAGGACTACAAGGCTTTCAACATGCTGCCTGGTAAGAGGACACCGCAGAGAGCACCTCCAATCCTGTTCTTTTAAAAAAGAAGCTTCCCATAACTACACTTTTCACATGGGAAAAATATGCCCCGCAGTGGGTGAGCTCTCCATGCAGGAGGACTTGACGTTCCGAAGCATCACTTATGAGGGACGCTTAGGAGGCCATAGAGGACTCGGCTAGACTTGATAAGGGTCTGTGATTGGGATAAGAAAGTCTGGTCTCAGGCTAGGCGTTGTGGCTCATGCCGGAGATCCCAGCACATTGGGAGGCTGAGGCAAGAGCATCGCTTGAACTCAGGACTTGGAGGCTACAGTGAGCTATGACTGCACCACTGCACTCCAGCCTGGGTGACAGTGCAAAACCCTGTCTCAGAAAAACAAAGGCCAGGCACGGTAGCTCATGCCTGTAATCCCAGCACTTTGGGAGGCCAAGGTGGGTAGATCACCTGAGGTCAGGAGTTGGAGACCAGCCTGACCAACATGGTGAAACCCTGTCGCTACTCAACATAAAAAATTAGACAGGTGTGGTGGCGCAAGCCTGTAATCCCAGCTACTCAGGAGGCTGAGGCAGGAGAATCACTTGAACCGGGGAGGCAGAGGTTGCAAGTGAGCCGAGATGGTGCCACTGCATTCCAGCCTGGGTGACACAGTGAGACTCTGTCTCCAAAAATAAATAAAAATAAAGACAAAATAAAAAAACACAGAAAGCACTTTCAGCTGTGCGCTCTGAAACTTAATGTCTCTTGCTGAATTTATTTGCTTTTTAGAGGCAGTCTTGCCCTATCACCCAGCTGGACTGCAATGGTGTGATCTCATGCCTCAGCTGAGGTCAGGTTGAACTCCTGACCTCATGCTCGCCTCGGCTTCCCAAAGTGCTGGGATTACAGACATGAGCCACCATGCCCACCTCCTATGTTTGCCTTCAAACTGGCTGCCAGCTTGGAATAACCAGTGACATGAGAGATTCCAGTCTTCCTGATGGACTGAACTTTGTTGGCACTTGGGAGCTCAGGTGGACGACAGCATCTTCTCAGAGCTGTTCTCCACTCCCTCCCGACTGCTACCCAGCCTTGAGAATACAGAGTGCACTCTTCTGGGTCCTAGTCGAGTCTGGAAGAAGGCTTTGGATAGAACAGGGACTAGGTTCCGTGGGAGGGAACAGAGTTTGGGAGAGATCATGGCTAGATGTCAACCGCAGCCACAGGTTGAGGAGAGGAGCCCCGAGCCTAGCACCTTGGGGTGCTCCCTCTGGAGGTGGTAGATGATGAAGTGCCCGGACCATCAGGTGAGGGGACTGCAGGAAAAAGAGATGGGAGACTAAGAAGAAGGAAGAGGGCCGGGCGAGGTGGCGCGCACCTGTAATACCAACAGTATGGGAAGATGAGGCGGGTGGATCACCTGAGGTCAGGAGTCAGAGAGAAGCCTGGCCAATATGGTGAAACCTTGTCTCTACTAAAATACAAACATTGGCTGGGCGGTAGTGGTGCGTGCCTGTAATCGCAGCTACTTGGGAGGCTGAGGTATGAGAATCGCTCGAGCCTGGGAGGTGGAGGTTGCAGTGAGCCGAGATCGCGCCAAGGCACTCCAGTCTGAGTGAAAGACTGAGACCCTGTTTCAAATAAAAGGAAGGGCCCACAAGTCGGGAAGAAGCTCCTGAGGAGGGTGTGTGGGAAGAAAGGAGGGACTCAGGCCAGGCCCAGTGGCTCACACCTGTAATCACAGCACGCTGGGAGGCTGAGGCAGGCGGATCACTTAAAAACAGGAGTTTGAGACAGCCTGGCCAACATATTGAAACCCCGTCTCTACAAAAAGCACAAAAATGATCTAGGTGTTATGGCGGGCACCTGTAAGCCCAGCTACTTGGGAGGCTGAGGCAGGAGAATCACTGGAACCCAGGAGATGAAGGCTGCAGTGAGCTAAAAAGCCACCACTACACTCCACCTTGGGTGACAAAGCAAGACTCTGTCTTAAAAAAAAAAAAAAAAAGAGGGACTCAGAGAGCCAGGGACCAGGGAAGGAAATGAGGAAGCATTCTGAGGAGAAATGGAAGAATGGGGAGGAGGAGAGGCACATGGGGTTCAGCAAGGGAGAAGCCAGCAGCCTGAGGGGCTGGGAGGATGGAGAGCGGTTTGGGGTTTTGGGTCGCGGTCTAAGGTGATCAACTGCAGAATCGTTAATTACACCGTGGCCTGCTTTCCTTACTCAATCCCTTGGGTAGATCCCGACACCCCGAGTAAGTTCCTTTACCGGAACATGAAGAGGGAGTGGTCGGACGAATCTAAGGAGGAGCCCAAGGAGGAGACAGACAAGAAGCCTGAGGAGACCTGGGTGCTGGACCCCCTGTCTGGGCTCAAGATTGAGTTAAAGCAAGAGCCAGTGTCACCCGTGCTCCCTGAGGACTACAAGGCTTTCAACATGCTGCCTGGTAAGAGGACACCCCAGAGAGCACCTCCAATCCTGTTCTTTTAAAAAAGAAGCTTCCCATAACTACACTTTTCACATGGGAAAAATATCCCCCACAGTGGGTGAGCTCTCCATGCAGGAGGACTTGACGTTCCGAAGCATCACTTATGAGGGACGCTTAGGAGGCCATAGAGGACTCGGCTAGACTTGATAAGGGTCTGTGACTGGGATAAGAAAGCCTGGTCTCAGGCTAGGCGTTGTGGCTCATGCCTGAGATCCCAGCACATTGGGAGGCTGAGGCAAGAGCATCGCTTGAACTCAGGACTTGGAGGCTGCAGTGAGCTATGACTGCACCACTGCACTCCAGCCTGGGTGACAGTGCAAAACCCTGTCTCAGAAAAACAAAGGCCAGGCACGGTAGCTCATGCCTGTAATCCCAGCACTTTGGGAGGCCAAGGTGGGTAGATCACCTGAGGTCAGGAGTTGGAGACCAGCCTGACCAACATGGTGAAACCCTGTCGCTACTCAACATAAAAAATTAGACAGGTGTGGTGGCGCAAGCCTGTAATCCCAGCTATTCAGGAGGCTGAGGCAGGAGAATCACTTGAACCGGGGAGGCAGAGGTTGCAAGTGAGCCGCGATGGTGCCACTGCATTCCAGCCTGGGTGACACAGTGAGACTCTGTCTCCAAAAAATAAATAAAAATAAAGACAAAATAAAAAAACACAGAAAGCAGCTTCAGCTGTGCGCTCTGAAACTTAATGTCTCTTGCTGAATTTATTTGCTTTTTAGAGGCAGTCTTGCCCCATCACCCAGGCTGGACTGCAATGGTGTGATCTTGGCTCACTACAACCTCCGCCTCCTGGATGTAAGCGACTATCCTGCCTCAGCGTCCCGAGTAGCTGGGATTACAGGCCAGGATCACACCACGCTGGCTAATTTTTTATATTTTTAGTAGAGACACGGTTTCACTGTGGTAGCCAGGATGGCCTTGAACTCCTGACCTCATGCTCGCCTCGGCTTCCCAAAGTGCTGGGATTACAGACATGAGCCACCATGCCCACCTCCTATGTTTGTCTTCAACCTGGCTGCCAGCTTGGAATAACCAGTGACATGAGAGATTCCAGTCTTCCTGATGGACTGAACTTTGTTGGCACTTGGGAGCTCAGGTGGACGACAGCATCTTCTCAGAGCTGTTCTCCACTCCCTCCCGACTGCTACCCAGCCTTGAGAATACAGAGTGCACTCTTCTGGGTCCTAGTCGAGTCTGGAAGAAGGCTTTGGATAGAACAGGGACTAGGTTCCGTGGGAGGGAACAGAGTTTGGGAGAGATCATGGCTAGATGTCAACCGCAGCCACAGGTTGAGGAGAGGAGCCCCGAGCCTAGCACCTTGGGGTGCTCCCTCTGGAGGTGGTAGATGATGAAGTGCCCGGACCATCAGGTGAGGGGACTGCAGGAAGAAGAGATGGGAGAGGATTGACGAAGAGGAAGGAAGAGGGCCGGGCGAGGTGGCGCGTACCTGTAATACCAACAGTATGGGAAGATGAGGCGGGTGGATCACCTGAGGTCAGGAGTCAGAGAGAAGCCTGGCCAATATGGTGAAACCTTGTCTCTACTAAAATACAAACATTGGCTGGGCGGTAGTGGTGCGTGCCTGTAATCGCAGCTACTTGGGAGGCTGAGGTATGAGAATCGCTCGAGCCTGGGAGGTGGAGGTTGCAGTGAGCCGAGATCGCGCCAAGGCACTCCAGTCTGAGTGAAAGACTGAGACCCTGTTTCAAATAAAAGGAAGGGCCCACAAGTCGGGAAGAAGCTCCTGAGGAGGGTGTTTGGGAAGAAAGGAGGGACTCAGGCCAGGCCCAGTGGCTCACACCTGTAATCCCAGCACGCTGGGAGGCTGAGGCAGGCGGATCACTTAAAAACAGGAGTTTGAGACAGCCTGGCCAACATATTGAAACCCCGTCTCTACAAAAAGCACAAAAATGATCTAGGTGTTATGGCGGGCACCTGTAAGCCGAGCTACTTGGGAGGCTGAGGCAGGAGAATCACTGGAACCCAGGAGATGAAGGCTGCAGTGAGCTAAAAAGCCACCACTACACTCCACCTTGGGTGACAAAGCAAGACTCTGTCTTAAAAAAAAAAAAAAAAAAAGAGGGACTCAGAGAGCCAGGGACCAGGGAAGGAAATGAGGAAGCATTCTGAGGAGAAATGGAAGAATGGGGAGGAGGAGAGGCACATGGGGTTCAGCAAGGGAGAAGCCAGCAGCCTGAGGGGCTGGGAGGATGGAGAGCGGTTTGGGGTTTTGGGTCGCGGTCTAAGGTGATCAACTGCAGAATCGTTAATTACACCGTGGCCTGCTTTCTTTACTCAATCCCTTGGGTAGATCCCGACACCCCGAGTAAGTTCCTTTACCGGAACATGAAGAGGGAGTGGTCGGACGAATCTAAGGAGGAGCCCAAGGAGGAGACAGACAAGAAGCCTGAGGAGACCTGGGTGCTGGACCCCCTGTCTGGGCTCAAGATTGAGTTAAAGCAAGAGCCAGTGTCACCCGTGCTCCCTGAGGACTACAAGGCTTTCAACATGCTGCCTGGTAAGAGGACACCGCAGAGAGCACCTCCAATCCTGTTCTTTTAAAAAAGAAGCTTCCCATAACTACACTTTTCACATGGGAAAAATATGCCCCGCAGTGGGTGAGCTCTCCATGCAGGAGGACTTGACGTTCCGAAGCATCACTTATGAGGGACGCTTAGGAGGCCATAGAGGACTCGGCTAGACTTGATAAGGGTCTGTGATTGGGATAAGAAAGTCTGGTCTCAGGCTAGGCGTTGTGGCTCATGCCGGAGATCCCAGCACATTGGGAGGCTGAGGCAAGAGCATCGCTTGAACTCAGGACTTGGAGGCTACAGTGAGCTATGACTGCACCACTGCACTCCAGCCTGGGTGACAGTGCAAAACCCTGTCTCAGAAAAACAAAGGCCAGGCACGGTAGCTCATGCCTGTAATCCCAGCACTTTGGGAGGCCAAGGTGGGTAGATCACCTGAGGTCAGGAGTTGGAGACCAGCCTGACCAACATGGTGAAACCCTGTCGCTACTCAACATAAAAAATTAGACAGGTGTGGTGGCGCAAGCCTGTAATCCCAGCTACTCAGGAGGCTGAGGCAGGAGAATCACTTGAACCGGGGAGGCAGAGGTTGCAAGTGAGCCGAGATGGTGCCACTGCATTCCAGCCTGGGTGACACAGTGAGACTCTGTCTCCAAAAAATAAATAAAAATAAAGACAAAATAAAAAAACACAGAAAGCACTTTCAGCTGTGCGCTCTGAAACTTAATGTCTCTTGCTGAATTTATTTGCTTTTTAGAGGCAGTCTTGCCCTATCACCCAGCTGGACTGCAATGGTGTGATCTCATGCCTCAGCTGAGGTCAGGTTGAACTCCTGACCTCATGCTCGCCTCGGCTTCCCAAAGTGCTGGGATTACAGACATGAGCCACCATGCCCACCTCCTATGTTTGCCTTCAAACTGGCTGCCAGCTTGGAATAACCAGTGACATGAGAGATTCCAGTCTTCCTGATGGACTGAACTTTGTTGGCACTTGGGAGCTCAGGTGGACGACAGCATCTTCTCAGAGCTGTTCTCCACTCCCTCCCGACTGCTACCCAGCCTTGAGAATACAGAGTGCACTCTTCTGGGTCCTAGTCGAGTCTGGAAGAAGGCTTTGGATAGAACAGGGACTAGGTTCCGTGGGAGGGAACAGAGTTTGGGAGAGATCATGGCTAGATGTCAACCGCAGCCACAGGTTGAGGAGAGGAGCCCCGAGCCTAGCACCTTGGGGTGCTCCCTCTGGAGGTGGTAGATGATGAAGTGCCCGGACCATCAGGTGAGGGGACTGCAGGAAAAGAGATGGGAGACTAAGAAGAAGGAAGAGGGCCGGGCGAGGTGGCGCGCACCTGTAATACCAACAGTATGGGAAGATGAGGCGGGTGGATCACCTGAGGTCAGGAGTCAGAGAGAAGCCTGGCCAATATGGTGAAACCTTGTCTCTACTAAAATACAAACATTGGCTGGGCGGTAGTGGTGCGTGCCTGTAATCGCAGCTACTTGGGAGGCTGAGGTATGAGAATCGCTCGAGCCTGGGAGGTGGAGGTTGCAGTGAGCCGAGATCGCGCCAAGGCACTCCAGTCTGAGTGAAAGACTGAGACCCTGTTTCAAATAAAAGGAAGGGCCCACAAGTCGGGAAGAAGCTCCTGAGGAGGGTGTGTGGGAAGAAAGGAGGGACTCAGGCCAGGCCCAGTGGCTCACACCTGTAATCACAGCACGCTGGGAGGCTGAGGCAGGCGGATCACTTAAAAACAGGAGTTTGAGACAGCCTGGCCAACATATTGAAACCCCGTCTCTACAAAAAGCACAAAAATGATCTAGGTGTTATGGCGGGCACCTGTAAGCCCAGCTACTTGGGAGGCTGAGGCAGGAGAATCACTGGAACCCAGGAGATGAAGGCTGCAGTGAGCTAAAAAGCCACCACTACACTCCACCTTGGGTGACAAAGCAAGACTCTGTCTTAAAAAAAAAAAAAAAAAGAGGGACTCAGAGAGCCAGGGACCAGGGAAGGAAATGAGGAAGCATTCTGAGGAGAAATGGAAGAATGGGGAGGAGGAGAGGCACATGGGGTTCAGCAAGGGAGAAGCCAGCAGCCTGAGGGGCTGGGAGGATGGAGAGCGGTTTGGGGTTTTGGGTCGCGGTCTAAGGTGATCAACTGCAGAATCGTTAATTACACCGTGGCCTGCTTTCCTTACTCAATCCCTTGGGTAGATCCCGACACCCCGAGTAAGTTCCTTTACCGGAACATGAAGAGGGAGTGGTCGGACGAATCTAAGGAGGAGCCCAAGGAGGAGACAGACAAGAAGCCTGAGGAGACCTGGGTGCTGGACCCCCTGTCTGGGCTCAAGATTGAGTTAAAGCAAGAGCCAGTGTCACCCGTGCTCCCTGAGGACTACAAGGCTTTCAACATGCTGCCTGGTAAGAGGACACCCCAGAGAGCACCTCCAATCCTGTTCTTTTAAAAAAGAAGCTTCCCATAACTACACTTTTCACATGGGAAAAATATCCCCCACAGTGGGTGAGCTCTCCATGCAGGAGGACTTGACGTTCCGAAGCATCACTTATGAGGGACGCTTAGGAGGCCATAGAGGACTCGGCTAGACTTGATAAGGGTCTGTGACTGGGATAAGAAAGCCTGGTCTCAGGCTAGGCGTTGTGGCTCATGCCTGAGATCCCAGCACATTGGGAGGCTGAGGCAAGAGCATCGCTTGAACTCAGGACTTGGAGGCTGCAGTGAGCTATGACTGCACCACTGCACTCCAGCCTGGGTGACAGTGCAAAACCCTGTCTCAGAAAAACAAAGGCCAGGCACGGTAGCTCATGCCTGTAATCCCAGCACTTTGGGAGGCCAAGGTGGGTAGATCACCTGAGGTCAGGAGTTGGAGACCAGCCTGACCAACATGGTGAAACCCTGTCGCTACTCAACATAAAAAATTAGACAGGTGTGGTGGCGCAAGCCTGTAATCCCAGCTATTCAGGAGGCTGAGGCAGGAGAATCACTTGAACCGGGGAGGCAGAGGTTGCAAGTGAGCCGCGATGGTGCCACTGCATTCCAGCCTGGGTGACACAGTGAGACTCTGTCTCCAAAAAATAAATAAAAATAAAGACAAAATAAAAAAACACAGAAAGCAGCTTCAGCTGTGCGCTCTGAACTTAATGTCTCTTGCTGAATTTATTTGCTTTTTAGAGGCAGTCTTGCCCCATCACCCAGGCTGGACTGCAATGGTGTGATCTTGGCTCACTACAACCTCCGCCTCCTGGATGTAAGCGACTATCCTGCCTCAGCGTCCCGAGTAGCTGGGATTACAGGCCAGGATCACACCACGCTGGCTAATTTTTTATATTTTTAGTAGAGACACGGTTTCACTGTGGTAGCCAGGATGGCCTTGAACTCCTGACCTCATGCTCGCCTCGGCTTCCCAAAGTGCTGGGATTACAGACATGAGCCACCATGCCCACCTCCTATGTTTGTCTTCAACCTGGCTGCCAGCTTGGAATAACCAGTGACATGAGAGATTCCAGTCTTCCTGATGGACTGAACTTTGTTGGCACTTGGGAGCTCAGGTGGACGACAGCATCTTCTCAGAGCTGTTCTCCACTCCCTCCCGACTGCTACCCAGCCTTGAGAATACAGAGTGCACTCTTCTGGGTCCTAGTCGAGTCTGGAAGAAGGCTTTGGATAGAACAGGGACTTGGTTCCGTGGGAGGGAACAGAGTTTGGGAGAGATCATGGCTAGATGTCAACCGCAGCCACAGGTTGAGGAGAGGAGCCCCGAGCCTAGCACCTTGGGGTGCTCCCTCTGGAGGTGGTAGATGATGAAGTGCCCGGACCATCAGGTGAGGGGACTGCAGGAAGAAGAGATGGGAGAGGATAGACTAAGAGGAAGGAAGAGGGCCGGGCGAGGTGGCGCGCACCTGTAATACCAACAGTATGGGAAGATGAGGCGGGTGGATCACCTGAGGTCAGGAGTCAGAGAGAAGCCTGGCCAATATGCTGAAACCTTGTCTCTACTAAAATACAAACATTGGCTGGGCGGTAGTGGTGCGTGCCTGTAATCGCAGCTACTTGGGAGGCTGAGGTATGAGAATCGCTCGAGCCTGGGAGGTGGAGGTTGCAGTGAGCCGAGATCGCGCCAAGGCACTCCAGTCTGAGTGAAAGACTGAGACCCTGTTTCAAATAAAAGGAAGGGCCCACAAGTTGGGAAGAAGCTCCTGAGGAGGGTGTGTGGGAAGAAAGGAGGGACTCAGGCCAGGCCCAGTGGCTCACACCTGTAATCCCAGCACGCTGGGAGGCTGAGGCAGGCGGATCACTTAAAAACAGGAGTTTGAGACAGCCTGGCCAACATATTGAAACCCCGTCTCTACAAAAAGCACAAAAATGATCTAGGTGTTATGGCGGGCACCTGTAAGCCCAGCTACTTGGGAGGCTGAGGCAGGAGAATCACTGGAACCCAGGAGATGAAGGCTGCAGTGAGCTAAAAAGCCACCACTACACTCCAGCTTGGGTGACAAAGCAAGACTCTGTCTTAAAAAAAAAAAAAAAAAGAGGGACTCAGAGAGCCAGGGACCAGGGAAGGAAATGAGGAAGCATTCTGAGGAGAAATGGAAGAATGGGGAGGAGGAGAGGCACATGGGGTTCAGCAAGGGAGAAGCCAGCAGCCTGTGGGGCTGGGAGGATGGAGAGCGGTTTGGGGTTTTGGGTCGCGGTCTAAGGTGATCAACTGCAGAATCGTTAATTACACCGTGGCCTGCTTTCTTTACTCAATCCCTTGGGTAGATCCCGACACCCCGAGTAAGTTCCTTTACCGGAACATGAAGAGGGAGTGGTCGGACGAATCTAAGGAGGAGCCCAAGGAGGAGACAGAGAAGATGCCTGAGGAGACCTGGGTGATGGACCCCCTGTCTGGGCTCAAGATTGAGTTAAAGCAAGAGCCAGTGTCACCCGTGCTCCCTGAGGACTACAAGGCTTTCAACATGCTGCCTGGTAAGAGGACACCCCAGAGAGCACCTCCAATCCTGTTCTTTTAAAAAAGAAGCTTCCCATAACTACACTTTTCACATGGGAAAAATATGCCCCGCAGTGGGTGAGCTCTCCATGCAGGAGGACTTGACGTTCCGAAGCATCACTTATGAGGGACGCTTAGGAGGCCATAGAGGACTCGGCTAGACTTGATAAGGGTCTGTGATTGGGATAAGAAAGTCTGGTCTCAGGCTAGGCGTTGTGGCTCATGCCTGAGATCCCAGCACATTGGGAGGCTGAGGCAAGAGCATCGCTTGAACTCAGGACTTGGAGGCTACAGTGAGCTATGACTGCACCACTGAACTCCAGCCTGGGTGACAGTGCAAAACCCTGTCTCAGAAAAACAAAGGCCAGGCACGGTAGCTCATGCCTGTAATCCCAGCACTTTGGGAGGCCAAGGTGGGTAGATCACCTGAGGTCAGGAGTTGGAGACCAGCCTGACCAACATGGTGAAACCCTGTCGCTACTCAACATAAAAAATTAGACAGGTGTGGTGGCGCAAGCCTGTAATCCCAGCTACTCAGGAGGCTGAGGCAGGAGAATCACTTGAACCGGGGAGGCAGAGGTTGCAAGTGAGCCGAGATGGTGCCACTGCATTCCAGCCTGGGTGACACAGTGAGACTCTGTCTCCAAAAAATAAATAAAAATAAAGACAAAATAAAAAAACACAGAAAGCACTTTCAGCTGTGCGCTCTGAAACTTAATGTCTCTTGCTGACTTTATTTGCTTTTTAGAGGCAGTCTTGCCCTATCACCCAGCTGGACTGCAATGGTGTGATCTCCTGCCTCAGCTGAGTTCAGGTTGAACTCCTGACCTCATGCTCGCCTCGGCTTCCCAAAGTGCTGGGATTACAGACATGAGCCACCATGCCCACCTCCTATGTTTGTCTTCAACCTGGCTGCCAGCTTGGAATAACCAGTGACATGAGAGATTCCAGTCTTCCTGATGGACTGAACTTTGTTGGCACTTGGGAGCTCAGGTGGACGACAGCATCTTCTCAGAGCTGTTCTCCACTCCCTCCCGACTGCTACCCAGCCTTGAGAATACAGAGTGCACTCTTCTGGGTCCTAGTCGAGTCTGGAAGAAGGCTTTGGATAGAACAGGGACTAGGTTCCGTGGGAGGGAACAGAGTTTGGGAGAGATCATGGCTAGATGTCAACCGCAGCCACAGGTTGAGGAGAGGAGCCCCGAGCCTAGCACCTTGGGGTGCTCCCTCTGGAGGTGGTAGATGATGAAGTGCCCGGACCATCAGGTGAGGGGACTGCAGGAAGAAGAGATGGGAGAGGATTGACTAAGAAGAAGGAAGAGGGCCGGGCGAGGTGGCGCGTACCTGTAATACCAACAGTATGGGAAGATGAGGCGGGTGGATCACCTGAGGTCAGGAGTCAGAGAGAAGCCTGGCCAATATGGTGAAACCTTGTCTCTACTAAAATACAAACATTGGCTGGGCGGTAGTGGTGCGTGCCTGTAATCGCAGCTACTTGGGAGGCTGAGGTATGAGAATCGCTCGAGCCTGGGAGGTGGAGGTTGCAGTGAGCCGAGATCGCGCCAAGGCACTCCAGTCTGAGTGAAAGACTGAGACCCTGTTTCAAATAAAAGGAAGGGCCCACAAGTTGGGAAGAAGCTCCTGAGGAGGGTGTGTGGGAAGAAAGGAGGGACTCAGGCCAGGCCCAGTGGCTCACACCTGTAATCCCAGCACGCTGGGAGGCTGAGGCAGGCGGATCACTTAAAAACAGGAGTTTGAGACAGCCTGGCCAACATATTGAAACCCCGTCTCTACAAAAAGCACAAAAATGATCTAGGTGTTATGGCGGGCACCTGTAAGCCCAGCTACTTGGGAGGCTGAGGCAGGAGAATCACTGGAACCCAGGAGATGAAGGCTGCAGTGAGCTAAAAAGCCACCACTACACTCCAGCTTGGGTGACAAAGCAAGACTCTGTCTTAAAAAAAAAAAAAAAAAAAGAGGGACTCAGAGAGCCAGGGACCAGGGAAGGAAATGAGGAAGCATTCTGAGGAGAAATGGAAGAATGGGGAGGAGGAGAGGCACATGGGGTTCAGCAAGGGAGAAGCCAGCAGCCTGTGGGGCTGGGAGGATGGAGAGCGGTTTGGGGTTTTGGGTCGGGGTCTAAGGTGATCAACTGCAGAATCGTTAATTACACCGTGGCCTGCTTTCTTTACTCAATCCCTTGGGTAGATCCCGACACCCCGAGTGAGTTCCTTTACCGGAACATGAAGAGGGAGTGGTCGGACGAATCTAAGGAGGAGCCCAAGGAGGAGACAGACAAGAAGCCTGAGGAGACCTGGGTGCTGGACCCCCTGTCTGGGCTCAAGATTGAGTTAAAGCAAGAGCCAGTGTCACCCGTGCCCCCTGAGGACTACAAGGCTTTTAACAGGCTGCCTGGTAAGAGGACACCCCAGAGAGCACCTCCAATCCTGTTCTTTTAAAAAAGAAGCTTCCCATAACTACACTTTTCACATGGGAAAAACATGCCCCGCAGTGGGTGAGCTCTCCATGCAGGAGGACTTGACGTTCCGAAGCATCACTTATGAGGAACGCTTAGGAGGCCATAGAGGACTCGGCTAGACTTGATAAGGGTCTGTGATTGGGATAAGAAAGTCTGGTCTCAGGCTAGGCGTTGTGGCTCATGCCGGAGATCCCAGCACATTGGGAGGCTGAGGCAAGAGCATCGCTTGAACTCAGGACTTGGAGGCTGCAGTGAGCTATGACTGCACCACTGAACTCCAGCCTGGGTGACAGTGCAAAACCCTGTCTCAGAAAAACAAAGGCCAGGCACGGTAGCTCATGCCTGTAATCCCAGCACTTTGGGAGGCCAAGGTGGGTAGATCACCTGAGGTCAGGAGTTGGAGACCAGCCTGACCAACATGGTGAAACCCTGTCGCTACTCAACATAGAAAATTAGACAGGTGTGGTGGCGCAAGCCTGTAATCCCAGCTACTCAGGAGGCTGAGGCAGGAGAATCACTTGAACCAGGGAGGCAGAGGTTGCAAGTGAGCCGAGATGGTGCCACTGCATTCCAGCCTGGGTGACACAGTGAGACTCTGTCTCCAAAAAATAAATAAAAATAAAGACAAAATAAAAAAACACAGAAAGCACTTTCAGCTGTGCGCTCTGAAACTTAATGTCTCTTGCTGACTTTATTTGCTTTTTAGAGGCAGTCTTGCCCTATCACCCAGGCTGGACTGCAATGGTGTGATCTTGGCTCACTACAACCTCCGCCTCCTGGATGTAAGCGACTATCCTGCCTCAGCGTCCCGAGTAGCTGGGATTACAGGCCAGGATCACACCACGCTGGCTAATTTTTTATATTTTTAGTAGAGATGAGGTTTCACTGTGGTAGCCAGGATGGCCTTGAACTCCTGACCTCACGCTCGCCTCGGCTTCCCAAAGTGCTGGGATTACAGACATGAGCCACCATGCCCACCTCCTATGTTTGTCTTCAACCTGGCTGCCAGCTTGGAATAACCAGTGACATGAGAGATTCCAGTCTTCCTGATGGACTGAACTTTATTGGCACTTGGGAGCTCAGGTGGACGACAGCATCTTCTCAGAGCTGTTCTCCACTCCCTCCCGACTGCTACCCAGCCTTGAGAATACAGAATGCACTCTTCTGGGTCCTAGTCGAGTCTGGAAGAAGGCTTTGGATAGAACAGGGACTAGGTTCCATGGGAGGAAACAGAGTTTGGGAGAGATCATGGCTAGATGTCAACCGCAGCCACAGGTTGAGGAGAGGAGCCCCGAGCCTAGCACCTTGGGGTGCTCCCTCTGGAGGTGGTAGATGATGAAGTGCCCAGACCATCAGGTGAGGGAACTGGAGGAAGAAGAGGTGGAAGAGGATTGACTAAGATAAAGGAAGGGGGCCGGGCGCAGTGGCTCACACCTGTAATCCCAGCACTTTGGGAGGCTGAGGTGGGTGGATCACCTGAGGTCAGGAGTTTGAATCCAGCGTGGCCGACACGGTGGAACCCTATCTCTACTAAAAACACAAACATGATCCTGGTAATACTGCTGCACACCTGTAATCCCAGCTACTCAGGAGGCTGAGGCAGGAGAAGCGCTTGAGCCTGGAAGGTGGAGGTTGCAGTGAGCTGAGAATGCGCTCCAGTCTTGGTGAGGGAGTGAGACCCTGTGTGGAAAAAAAACAAAAAAAGACAGAAGAACCCAGTCATCAGAAAGGAACACTTGAGGAGGGTATTAGGGAAGAAAGAAGGGACTCAGAGCGCAGTGCCTCACACCTGTAATCCCAGCACTTTGGGAGGCTAAGGCGGGTGGATCACTTGAGGCCAGGAGTTTGAGACCAGCCTGGCCAACATGGTAAAATCCTGTCTCTACAAAAAATACAAAAATGAGCTGGGAATTGTAGTGGGCACCTGTAATCCCAGATACCTGGTGGGGCTGAGGCAGGAGAATCACTGGAACCCGGGAGATGGAGTTTGCAGCAAGCCGAGATGGCAACACTACACTCCAGCCTGGGTGACAGAGAAAGACTTTGTCTCACCAAAAAAAAAAAAAGGAGGGAGTCAGAGATCCAGGGACTAGGGAAGGAAAGAAAGCATTCTGAGGATAGAAAGATGGAAGAATGGGGAGGAGAAGGAGAGACACATCGGGTTCAGCAAGGGAGAAAGATGGAAAAATGGCTCACAGAAGCCAACAGTCTGCGGGGCTGGGGAGGATGGAGAGTGCATTGGGGTTTTGGGTTGGGGTCTAAGGTGATCAGTTGCAGAAGCATTACACGGTGACCTGCTTTCTTTACTCATCTCCTTGGGTAGATTCCAGCCCGCCTAATTTCCTTTCTTGGCAAAAGAAGAGGGACTGGTCGGATGAATCGGAGAAGGAGCTGGAGGAGGAGACAGGGAAGGAGCGCACCCCTGAGCCTGAGGAGACCTGGGTGCTGGACACCCTGTGTGGGCTCAAGATGAAGCTCAAACGACAGCGAGTGTCACCCGTGCTGCCTAAGCGCTATGAGGCCTTCAACACGCTGCTTGGTAGGAGGACACCCCAGAAAGCACCTCCAATCCTGTTTTTGTAAAAAAGAGGACAGTTTCCATAACCATGCTTTCTCAGTGGGAAATGCACCCCAGTCGGTGAGCTCTCCATGTGGGAGGACTCAGGATCCAAAGCATCACTACTGAGGGACACTTGGGAGGCCACAGACTATTTGACTAGAGTTGATAAAGGTCAGTGATAGGATAAGAAAGCTTGCTTTCAGGCCGGGCATGGTGGCTCATGCCTGAGATCCCAGCACATTGGGAGGCTGAGGCAAGAACATCACTTGAACTCAGGACTTTGAGGCTGCAGTGAGCTATGGCTGCACCACTGCACTCCAGCCTGGGTGACAGAGCAAAACCCTGTCTCAGAAGAAAAACCAAGTCCAGGTGCAGAAGCTCATGCCTGTAATCCCAGCACTTTGGGAGGCTAAGGTGGGTAGATTATCTGAGGTCAGGAGTTCGAGACCAGCCTGACTACCATGGTGAAATCCCATCTCTACTGAAAATACAAAATTAGATGCACATGGTGGTGCATGCCTGTGATCCCAGCTACTCCGGAGGCTGAGACAAGAGAATTGCTTGAACCCAGGAGGCACAGGTTGCAAGCGAGCCGAGATTGTGCCACTGCATTCTATCCTTAGTGGCAGAGTGAGAGTCTGTCTCCAAAAAATAAATAACAATAAAAGAAAGGAAAACAAAATCAAAAAAATGAAGAAAGCAGTTTAGCTGTCCTGTCTGAAACTTAATGTCCCTTGCTGACTTTTCTCATTCATTTATTCATTCATTCATTCATTTGAGAAGGAGCCTGCCCTATCGCCCAGGCTAGTGTGCAATGATGCAATCCCGGCTCACTGCAACCTCTGCCTCCCAGGTGGAAGCGATTCTTCTGCCTCAGCCTCTTGAATAGCTGGGATTACAGGCCAGCACCACCAAGCCTGGCTAATTTTTTTGTATTTTTAGTAGAGATGAGGTTTCACTGTGATAGCCAGGATGGTCTCCAACTCCTGACCTCATGATCTGCCTGCCTCGGCTTCCCAACGTGCTGGGATAACAGGTGTGAGCCACCGTGCCTCACCTCTATGTTTTTCTTCAAACTGTTGGCCAGGTTGGAATGATCAAAGACATCTGCAATTCCAAACTTCCTTACTGGAAGGACTGACCTCCGTGGGTGCTTGGGAGCTCAAGTGGACAACAGCATCTTCTCAGAGCTGTTCTCCATGCCCGAATTCTCCTTAGCCTTGAGACTAGAGAATGCACTCCTCTAGGTCCTAGTACAGTCTGGATGAAGGCTTTGGACAGAACAGGGACCAGGTTTCATGGGAGGGAACAGAATTTGGGAGAGATCATGGCCAGCTGTCAACCTCAGCCCCAGGTTGAGGAGAGGAGCCCCCCAGCCTAGCACCTTAGGGTACTCCTCCCGGAGGTGGTGGACAAGGATTGCCAGGACCATCAGGCGAGGGGACTGGAGGAAGGAGAGATGGCAGAGGATTGACCAAGAAGAAGAGAGGGGGCTGGGCACGGTGGCTTATGCCTGTAATCCCAGCATTTTGGGAGGTCATGGCAGTTGGATCACCTGAGGTCAAGAATTCGAGATGAGTCTGCCCAAATGGTGAAACCCTGTCTCTACTAAAATAACAAAAATCACCCAGGCAGTATTGGTGCATGCCTGTAATCCTAGCTACTTGGAAGGCTGAAGCAGAATTCTTGAGCCTGGGAAGCAAAGGTTACGGTGAACCGAGATTGCGTCTCTGCATTCTAATCTAGTTGAGAGAGTGGGACCCTGTCTCAAAAAAAAAAAAAGAAGAAGAAGAAAGAAAGAATGACCCAGAAGTCAGGAAGGAACATCTGAGGGAGTGTGTGGGGGAAGAAAGGAGGGACTAGGGCCGGGTGCAGTGGCTCACACCTGTAACCCCAGGACTTTGGGAGGCCAAGGCAGGAGGATCACTTGAGGCCAGGAGTATGAGACCAGCCTGGCCAACATGGTAAAACCTCGTCTCTACTAATAAAGTACAAAATAGAGCCAGGCATTATGGTGGGCACCTGTAATCCCAGCTACTTGGGAGGCTGAGGCAGGAGAATCACTGGAACCCAGGAGACGGAGGCTGCAGTGAGCCGAGATTGTACCACAACAATGGGCAATCCAGCCTGGGTGGCAAAGCAAGACAGCCTCAAGAAAAAAAAAAGGACAGGGTCAGAGAGCCAGGGACCAGAGAAGCAAATGAGGAAGCGTTCTGAAGACAGACAGATGGAAGAATGGGGAGGAGGAGGAGAGGCACATGGGGTTCAGCAAGGGAAAGCCAAGAGTCTGCGGGGCCGGGGAGGATGGAGAGTGCTTTGGGGTTTTGGGTCAGGGTCTACGGTGATCAATTGCAGAAGCATTACACGGTTGCCTGCTTTCTTTACTCATGTCCTTGGGAAGGTCCCAGTTCGCCTTGGATCCTTTGCCGTAAAAGGAAGAGGGAGTGGTCAGACGAATCTGAGGAGGATCCCGAGGAGGAGACAGGGAAGGAGCGCACCCCCGAGCCTGAGGAGACCTGGGTGCTGGAGAGGCTTCAGGGGCTCAAGATGAAAATTAAGCGGCGGCGAGTGTCAACCGTGCTCCCTGAGCATCACCAGGCCTTCAACAGGCTGCTTGGTAGGAGGACACCCCATCCCGTTCTTTCAAAAAAGAGGAAACTTCCCGTAACCATACTTTTCCCGTGGGAAATATATGCCCCCCAGTGGGTGAGCTCTCCATGTGGGAGGACTCAGAAGTGATCACTCATGAGGGACTTAGGAAGCCATAGACGATTCAGCTAGACTTGATCAAGGTCTGCGATTGGGGTCAGAAAGCTTGCTTTCAGGCCAGGCGCCTGGCTCATGCCTGAGATCCCAGGAGGTTGAAAGGCTGAGGCAAGAGGATCGCTTGAACTCAGGGCTTTGAGGCTGCAGTGAGCTATGATGGCACCACTGCACTCCAGCCTGGGTGACAGAGCAAAACCCTGTCAAAGAAGGAAAACCAAGGCCAGGAACAGTAAGTAGTTCAAGTCTGTGATGCCAGCATTTTGGGAGGCCGAGGCAGGTGGATCTATTGAGGTCAGGAGTTTGAGGAAGTCAGGAGTTCAGTCTGACCAACATAGCGAAACCCCGTCTCTACTAAAAATACAAAACTCAGCCTGGTGTGGTGGCACATGCCTGTAATCCCAGCTATCCAGGAGGCTGAGACAGGAGAATTGCTTGAACCCCAGAGGGGGAGGTTGCAGTGAGCCAGTATCACACCACTGAACTCCATCCTTAGCAAAAGAGTAAGACGCCATATGAAATAAAGAAATTTAAAAAATAAAGAAAAACAAGATCAAAAAACAAAGAAAGCAGTTTCAGTTGTGCCCTCAGAAACGTAATGTCTGTTGCTGACTTTTCTGAACCTAAGTATCTCCATCCCTAGAGGGGGATGCCAAGGCCATGGTCACACCCTGCGGTGACTGTCTCAGGAGGAAACGATGGGAATGACTTTCTGACTCTGCAGGGGTCCCTGCGTGTCTGCGGGGAGGGCATCCTGTCTTCTTCCCAGCTCTCCAGCCAGTAGATTCTCACACCCAGGGCCTCCTTTGGCCTCTTCTCAGGGCAGTCTCAGAGCGGGAGCCTCTCTCCCTTGCCCAGTGAAAGTCATTCTCTCCTCTCCCATCCACCTCACCTGCGGCCACCATCCTGAGACTTTCCCCAGGGAGGCGCAGTTCTCCTGGCTGCCCTGTTTCTCCCATGGAAACTCCTTTCTGCTTCTCACACTAACATCTGCTCTCTAATCACAGAGGATCCTGTCGTGAAAAAATTCCTGGCCTGGGACACATATCTGCTGGCATCCGACAAGGTAAGGTCATTCTCCACGAAACTGTGTTCCTGTTCCAACACACAGCCTGGGGGAGGGCACAGCTTCCACACCCACAGTTCCACTCCCCTCTCCTCCACCAGCTCCCACCTGATGCTCCACAGTCTTATTTTATTCTGAGACAGAGTTTTGCTCTGTTGCCCAGGCTGGAGGGCAGTGTCCCGATCTTGGCTCAATGCAGCCTCCCACTCCAGGGTTCAAGCGATTCTCCTGCCAGCCTCCCTAGTAGCTGGGATTGCAGGCGTGCACCACCATGCCTGGCTCATATTAGTGTTTTTTGTAGAGACAGGGTTTTGCCCTGTTGGCCACGCTGGTCTTGAACACCTGACCACAGGTGATCCACCTGCCTTGGCCTCCCAAAGTGCTGTTAATACAGTCATGAGCCACTGTGCCCAGCTCCCTCCCATGGTCTTGAGTCTTGGCACCAACCCAGGTTTTTTGTGTGTGCTTTTTGTTTTTTGCTTTTTTTGAGACAGAGACTAGCTCTGCTCTCTAGGATAAAGCACAGTGGCCTCTAATTCCTGGGTTCAAGCAATTCTCCTGCCTCAGCCTCCTGAGTAGCTAGAACTACAGGCACATGCCACCACCATGCTCGACTAATTTTTGTAATTTTTGGACAAAGAGGGTCTTGCTATGTTGCCCAGGTTGTTCTCAAATTTGGGCTCACGTGATCCTCCTGTCTCAGCCACTCACAGTACTGGAGTCACAGGCTTGAGCCGCCACTCCCAGCTATTCTTGGTCTTTTTATGATTTGTCAGCATCTCCCTCAGGACTCTGCTGGTTTCTTGCAGAGTAAGTGGCCCCTGCAGGAGTCCTTAGGGATCTGAGCCCTGGGCCGCAGTCTAGCCGCAGCCCTGAAGCTCCCGGCCCCTCCACTCTCAGCTCTTTGGGACATTTCTCTGCCTCGCACACACAAGACCCTCCTGACGCCAGCCAACCTAGACACACTCCCTGCAAAGGTCCCATGGGAGCTCACCATCCTGGGAGCATCACCGACATCCTTTCCTCCAGCTTCTCGGATTTGTATCCGACCTTCTAATACCCCTCCACCTCACTATTTCCCAATGAGCACAGTCACCCCAACGCTGAGGTGCCTTCTCTGATAGGCAAACCCTCCCCTGCCCCCATTTCCCCATTGCACAATCTGCCTTTTCCAAGATGTGACCTCTCCCTCTCTGTGTTCCTTTCTCTCCATCAGTACCTGCTGGCCATGGTCATAGCATATTTTAGCCGCGCCGGCCTCTTCTCCTGGCAGTACGAACGCATTCATTTCTTCCTGGCTCTGTGAGTGCTTTGCTCCCTCCTATCCGTCAATATCCAACACCCTGGGACAGCAGGGCAAGTCGGATTCCAACCTCTCGTTTATTCTTTTTTTTTTTTTTGAGACGGTGTTTCGCTCTTGTTACCCAGGCTGGAGTGCAATGGTGAGATCTCGGATCACCGCAACCTCCACCTCCTGGGTTCAGGCAATTCTCCTGCCTCAGCCTCCCAAGTAGCTGGGATTACAGGCGTGAGCCACCGCACCCGGCCCTGTTCTTTCATTTATTTGTCCTCTTTACTCTGTGTATAAACAAGATAGGTTTATACAATGGCGTTCTTAGACTGTTCCTTCTGAAAACAAACTCAGCCCAGGTGCGGTAGCTCATGCCTGTAATCCCAGCACTTTGGAAAGCCAAGGCAGGCAGATCACCTGAAGTTAGGAGTTCAAGACCAGCCCGGACAATATGGTCAAACCTCGCCTATACTAAAAATACAAAAATTTGCCAAGTGTGGTGGCATGTGCCTATAATCCCAGCTACTCAGGAGGCTGAGGCAGGAGAATCGCTTGAACCTGGGAGGCAAAGGTTGCAATGAGCCAAGATTACGCCATTGCACTCGAGCCTGGGTGACAGAGCAAGACTATGTCTCAAAAAACCAAAAAAATTAGGTGGGGCTGCTGGTGTGAAGCTGTAATCCCAGCTACTTAGGAGGTTGAGGCAGGAGAACTGCTTGAACCAAGGAGGCAGAGGTTGCAGTACGCTACGATTAATTAAGCCACTGAACTCCAGCCTCAGTGAAAAAGCAAGATGTTTTCTCAAAGCAAAACCAAACTCAAATGCCAGTTTAAAAGTAAAAGAATAAAACCAAAGGAACCATCCACCCCTCCTAAGGGGAGAGAAAAAGGAGCAGACACGACGCCTCCCCCAGCACAGCCACTTCTGGTTCTTCTGTCTCTCTCCTTCCCACATCAACCCCACATGCAATGGTTCATCGTCCTCCTCCGGGTTCCCATGACAGAGGCCACGGTTCAGGTCCCCTCGCTTCACTCCAATCCACTGACAAATGCTCCCTGCTGGGGTCTCCTGGAGCCTGTCCCCAAGCCAGGGGGCTTCCTGGTGCAGCCGGAACATCTCTCCAAAGCACAGGTCCGACCCCCACTGCCCACCTGAACAGCTTCCCTAGCTGATGTCTTTTCAAACCGAGGCCAGGGCCACAGTGCCAATTCCACCCTCTCTACACTCTCTCTGCAGCCAAACAGGCTCCCCATCCTGGTGTTTCCTGGCTTGGTCTCACCGCTCCTTCCAAACGCCCGCCACTCGACTTTGCATCTGTGTTTTCTGTCTGGGGTCCTGCACACGTGTGGTTCTGAAGGGAAGCACCCATTCCTTGACATCAATTCACCCCACAGCCTCTGTGATGCCTTCCCTTATCTTCCCACCTCTGTATGCCCATAGCACACCAGTGACATCCTATTATAATGTGACACTGGGATAAGGTTTTTTGCCCTGATTTCTCCCAGTGCCATTAGACTAGATGCCTACAGAAGGCAGGATCTTGGAAAAATATCAATGTATTTTATTTATTTTATTTTTTCATGACAGAAATTCGCTCTGTCCACCAAGCTGGAGTGCAGTGGTGAGATCAGAGCTCACTACAGCCTCCATCTCTTGGGCTCAAGTGATCCTCCCACCTCAGACTCCTGATTAGCTCAGACTATAGGGCTGTGCCATCACACTTGGACAATTACTTAGGTATTTATTAAATTATATATATATTTGAGATGGAGCCTCGCTCTATCAACCAGGCTGGAGTACAATGTCACCAACTTGGCTCACTGCAACCTCTGCCCCCCAGGTTCAAGCAATTCTCCTGCCTCAGCTTTCTGAGTAGCTGGGACTACAGGCCCATACCACGAGGCCCAGCTAATGTTCCGTATTTGTAGTACAGACGACGGTGTTTCGCTGTGTTAACCAGGATGGTCTCAATCGCCTGACCTGGTGATCCACCCGCCTCAGCCTCCCAAATTGCTGGAATTACAGGCATGAGCCACCACTCCCATCCTATTTATTTATTGAGAGAGAGTCTCGCTCTGTCTCCCAGGCTACAATGCAGCAGACCTATCTCAGCTCACTACAACCTCAGCCTCCTGGGTTCATGTGATTCTTGTGCCTCAGCTTCTGGAGTAGCTAGGACTAAGGTGTGTGCCACCACACCAGGGGATTTTTGTATTTTTAGTAGAGATGGGGTTTTGCCATGTTCAACAGGTTGGTCTCAAACTCCTGGCCTCATGTCACCCACCCGCTTCAGCCTCCCAAAATGCTAAAATTCCAGGCCTGAGCCACCACTCTTGGCCACCAGTTGGCTTTTTGTCTCCATCCCGAAGGTGTGAGGGGCACCCTTCAGCAGGCATCTGTCCAGCAGGGCCCTCCTGAGGAAGGCATGGCTCTCTGCAGGGTGGGTGCCAATCCTGACCTAAGGTCCCCCGCCCTCCTCTCTGGGAAGCTGACCTCAGCCAGAGGTCTCTCCTGGTGGTGCCCCTGAGCAGCAGTCTGATTTCTGTCCCCAGCTACCTGGCCAATGACATGGAGGAGGACAACCAGGGCCCCAAACAAGCCATCTTCTACTTCCTGTATGGGAAGGACCGCTCCCAGCAACGATTATTCCAGAAGCTTCGGTTCCAGTTCTTCTGTTCCATGCGCTGCAGGGCTTGGGTTTCCCCGGAGGAGTTAGAGGAGGTGGGTGGGTGTGGGGAGGTGGAGAGGAATCTGGTGGTTGGAGGCTGGATGAGGGGATGGAGGGGTATCCTGGAGGGGTCCCCATTTTCTCAAGGGGCATTTGTCTTTGCAGATCCAGGCTTATGACCCAGAGCACTGGGTGTGGGCACGAGATCGTGCCAACTTTTTATAGAACTACAGCACCGTGGAGGCCTGAGGTCATCGGCCTGAGAGAAGGTATGTCTGCATCCCCCAGAGTCAAGGCAGAATATTGTGTCTATTTAGGAAATCCGAGGAACCCAATTGCTTGATGTAGCTTCAAGCCTGGGCAACTTGGCGAGATCAACTCTCCACAGAAATTCACAAATTAGCTGGGTGATGTGGGAGGCATCTCTATTCCCAACTACTCAGGAGGCTGAGGAGGGAGGATCGCTGGAGCCTGAGACACTGAGGCTGCAGGGAGACCTGATCCTGCCACTGTACTCCAGCCTGGTCGACACAGTGAGACCCTGTCTCAAAATTCATCAGAAATACTGAGTTCCAGGAAGTTCATTAGGACTGACACACTTGAATGACCTATTTGGGTTGAGGATTCAGTGAAGATTCGGTTTACATCTTGTGCAGCTAACCACGTTGAGGACTCAGCATGAGACTTCAACATTACGAAGTAGGATTATGGATTAGGCTCCGGGACTCGTGGTTCGTGATGTTGTCACATTAGAACTAAGCCTGGTTACCAGTTTAGATCTTAAGTGACATGAAAGGCCCACATGTGATGAAGTCTAAAGCCTCATTGTCTGAGGGTGCTGTACTCCCTGGGCAGACCCACACAAAGTCCCAGCAAGGAAATAGATAACTGGGGATGGCCTTGGGTGTATTAAGTGAGTTTTGGAGTCGGGGTCACCAAAGTGTGCATATCACAATTGAACAGCAGGCTAGAGAATGAAGGGCAGGAGATGAAACTGGATTGATCAATCACTCTGAACTCTAGTTAGAATTGACATGAGACACAAATGACCTTCCTAGAGAACTGCTTCCTTGAAGCCTGACCTCCTCTCTCTCACTTCCAGAACACCGGGCCCGGGGAGATGCGGATTTTCAGCACGAAGTTTATTCCAATGCTAATGACAGACAGACACCAGGAAGGAGGAGAGGAGCCATTTGTGCAAATCATCTAGAAGAACCTGGACTGTTCTAGAAAGACCTCAATAGCGTGACCACGCTGTCCTCCTAGGGGTGGAGGGGCGGGGAGACGGTACTTCTAGGAGTCCGTGGAGGACAGTGAGAAACCAGGGGTGTTTCTGGTTCCACCCCTTCCTGCGGCACCACCTCCCTTTTTATATTGCTGAATTCCAGCCTCTCCAGGAGCATCTGAGGGCACAGTACAGGCGCTCAGATTGGCACAGAATTATTTGTAAAGTATGAGTGCCGTCGGATTGTAACAGGTAGCTTCATGCATACTATGCATTTTTGTGGTTTTGGAAGTGTTGGCCATTGAATTATTCCTATGTTTATTTCAAATAGTTTGGAAATTGTTTTACTTTTGAAAGCTTGCTGTTCCTGTAGAGTTTTTGATGAGAATTATAGCTGTTACATATACAGAAATATAGTTTTCTTTTTTTAAGAAAGAATTCTGTTTATCCTAAATCTTTTATTAAATTGTTTTATCTATTATGATATGTGCTCCTGAAGCGAGCACTCTTTATCTATGATACTTACATGATAGTCTATTATATTTATAGCTATGTGGTTGTTCGCGTAAATCTTCTAATAGAAATTTTTATTTCCTGTTTAGTGTTAGTTACTGAATTGTGAGAATTCAGTGGTGATTTTTAACATGTCTTAGATATATTGTAATATGTTTAATATATACTATACATTTTATTGGTTTATTTTGAAAAAGATGGGCATAGAATTATTACTACATTTATTTAAAGAGTTTGGAAATACTGTTTTTGAATAGATGCTGTTTCTATAAAGTTGTGTGATGGGTGTTATAGCCATTACGTATATATAAATACAATTTTGTTTTCCTTTTTAAGAGAGGATTCTTTCTATCCTAAAGCTTTTATCTGCCAACATTTTTATCTGTTATTACACGTACTCCTGACGTGGGCCCTCTTTTTATCTATGATACTTACTTAATATATCTATTACCTGTATAGCTAAGTGGTAGTTCCCCTAAATGCTTGTAAAAATAAATTTGGATTTTATGTTTAGTGTATGATTTGAAATGTGAGAATTCAGATGTAATTTTTTACCTTCTATTGACCTGTTTGTAAATTACCTTGAAGAGGATGTGTGTTTTGAAGGAGGCCATGAGCTGTGTGTTTTCAAGGGAACCTGTGCATCTCCTGGGAAACCTAGTAAACATGAAGTTTTCTCGTCTTCACAGTGAGTGCGATCAGATTGCTCCAGATTGCTTATTTGCCATCAAGTGACATTTTTCCTTAATGAGGTTTTGGTTATTTGAATATATTTATTGGCTCTGGAAGATAATTCTGTATTTTTTTTATATAGAAATAACATAAGTCTGGAAACAGTGCTCACACCTATAATCCAGCACTTTTGGAGGTTATGGAGGGAGGATCACTTGAGGCCAGGGGTTTAAGACCAGCCTGGGCAACATAGCAGCTACGTCTACTTTTTTCCTAATTTTTTTAAAAAATTAGAAGAGAAGGCTAATCCCAAATTAGGGTTTTGCTTTGGTTTGGTTTGTAGAGACAGAGACTTGCTCTCTTGCCCAGGGTGGAGTACAGTATTGTGATCTCAGCTTACTGCAACCTCTGCCTCCCGGGTTCAAGCGATTATCCTGCCTCAGCCTCCCGAGTAGCTGGGACTACCAGTGCCCATCTGTATGCCTGACTAATTTTTGTAAATATTACAGACAGGGTTTCGCCATGTTGGCCAGGCTGGTCTCAAACTTCAGACCTTAAGTGATCCATCTGCCTCGACCTCCCAAAGTGCTGGGATTAGAGGCATGAGCCACGGCGCCCGGCTGACTTCCAGAGTTTTAATAACAGACATGTGGCTGAAGAAGAAAAGGAAGCCATGGTCTGTAGACGGCAGGAGCTTCGTGAAAAGAGGCCAGTGAAGGGCAGGACGTGAAGCTCTCTACCTACAGGAAACCAGCCCAGAGCCTCCCACAGGGACTTCAGTACAGAGGGCCGGGAAAATCTGCATGAACCCGAGCCCTGAACCTAAGACAGGACAAGGCCTTTACTGTTTCTGCAGACTCACAAGATGCAATCTCTGTGGTCCATGCCCATGGGACGATCTGGAATAAAGGGGACCTCATGCCTGTAATCCCAGCACTTTGGGAGTCTGAGCAGGGCCGATCACCTGAGGTTGGGAGTTTGAGACCAGCCTGACCAACGTGGAGAAACCCCATCTGTACTAAAAATACAAAATAAGCCAGGCATGATGGCACATGCCTGTCAACCCAGCTACTTGGGAGGCTTAGGCAGGAGAATCCCTAGAATCCAGGAGGTGGAGGTTGCCATGAACCACAATCGTGCCATTGGGCTCCAGCCTGGGCAACAAGAGCAAAATTCTGTCTCAAAAAAAAAAGGATGGGGGAGCCTTCTAAATGCAAATAACATGGAATCAAAGGTGCAACAGAAATACTGGCACTGATTTGGGCCGCGGAAAGGCCTAAACAGGTAACTGCAGTCCATTGCCAAGGTCATCAGCGGGGTGACTGAAATAGCAAATTTCAGTAGCCATGGCCAAGACAGCTGCACGGGTGGGGAAGTCCTCCAAATGTCTCTGCGTCCTTCAGTAGCTCTTTATAAAATAAGGCAAGGTACTCCACTGACCAATTTCTTTTTTCTTTCTTTTTTTTCTCTTTTGAGACAAAATTTCACTCTTGTTCCCCGGGCTGGAGTGGGATGGGGTATCGCAGCTCACTACAATGGCTGCCTCCCAGGTTCAAGTGATTCTCCTGCCTGGAACTCTCAAGTAGCTGGGATTGCAGGCGCCTGCCACTACACCCCGATAACTTTTTGGATTTTTAGTAAAGATGGGTGTCACCATGTTGGCCAGGCTGGTCTTTAACTCATGACCTCAAGTGATCCACTCACTGTAGTCTCCCAAATTGCTGGTATTACAGGTGTGAACCACTGCACCTGTCCCTGCCTGGGGCATTTTAAAAGCCACTGGAGATAGACATCACCTGAGTTCCATAAGGTGGCCCCTAAATAGAAGAGGCAGGATATGAGTGCCTGCAAATGTGAAACGGGTTATTGTAAAAGATGCCCATGACTCCTTACACTACGGGAAGGCGGCAGGACACAGCTTGCTGTCGGCATTATAAGCACCCCATGATGAAAGGAAACAATGTAATAGATAAAGCGGCTGACCACTGTGTCTATCATCAGAATATCTCTCTCTCTCTCTCTCTCTCTCTCTCTCTCTCTCTCTCTCTCTCTCTCTCTCTCTCCCTCCCTCCCTCCCTCCCTCTCCCCCTCACTCTCTCATCTCTCTCTCTCTCTCTCTCTCTCTCTCTCTCTCTCTCTCTCTCTTCCCCCCCCCACCCAGGCTGGAATGCAGTGGTGCCATCTTGGCTCACTGCAAACTCCACCTCTTCGGTTCAAGTGATTCTCCTGTCTCAGCCTCCTGAATAGCTGGGATTACAGGCACACACCACCACACCCGTCTAATTTTTGTAGTTTAATAGAGACGAGGTTTTACCATGTTGGCCAGACTGTTACCTGACCTCAAATGATCCACCCACCCTGGCCTCTCAAAGTGTTGGGATTAAAGGCATGAGCCACTGTCTCCAGCCTCTCCCACATCTCTTTTGGCCAAGGCAGTACACTTCAGAAGAACCACGCCAGGGAATACTGGCAAATGGCCTTCAGTGTGATGCCTGCGGCTCCTGGAGGATTTCCATACCCCCTGGTGCTTACTGATACCGTCACCAGTTACACAGGCGCTTTTCCAGGCCAGACTGAAAAAGCAGGAGATCGCTGATCAACCTTACTCTTCACTAGCAGAACACAGGGGTGTGTGCGGTCACCAATACCTCCCATTGCACTTGGAGAAACACCTCCCGGGAAATAGAGGTTCATGTAAAGGAAATGTTCAAACAAGCAGAATGGCTGCATTCCTTCAACCAGAAGCCTCCGTTCCTCTTTTTTCACACTGCAATAAAGAACTACCTGAAACTGGGTAATTTATGAAGAAAAGAGATTTGACTGACTCACAGTTCTGGGGACTGTACAGGAAGCGTGGCCCAGGAGGCCTCAGGAAACAGACAATCATGGCAGAAGGCAAAGGGGAAGCAGGCACGTCTTGCCATGGTAGAGCAGGAGAGAGAGTGAAGGGGGAGGGGCCACACACTTTTAAACAAGATCCCATGAGCGCTCACTCACTATCACAAGAACAGCAAGGGGGAAGTCGGCCCCCACAAGCCAATCACCTCCCACCAGGTTTCTCCCTCAATATCGGAAATTACAATTTTACATGAGATTTGGGTGGAGACACAGAGACAAACCATATCAAAGGTAGTTCATCCACTGAGACTGATTTATTTATTTAGAGATGAAGTCTCGCTCTGTCGCCCAGGCTGGAATGCAGTGGTGCAATCTCAGCTCTCTGCAACCTCTACCTCCCAGATTCAAGCAATTGTCCTGCCTCAGCCTCCTGAATAGCTAGGACTATAGCACATGCCACCACCAGGCCTGGCTAATTTTTGTACTTTTAGTAGAAATGGGGCTTCATCATGTTGGCCAAGGTGGTCTGGAACTCCTGAGCTCAGGTGATCTGCCTGCCTTGGCCTCCCAAAGTGCTGGCATTACAGGCATGAGCCACCACGTCCAGCCAACCACTGAGATTACCTGGTTTCTTCCTATGCTGGGGCCCCTTGTGGCCACTGTTCTCCTGTTACTTTACCTTTTTTCTCTTTTCTTTTCTTACCTTCCTTCCTTCTTTCTTTCTTTCTCTCTTTCTTTCTTTGAAACAGTGATTTGCTCTTGTTGCCCAGTCTGGAGTACAATGGCGCGATCTCGGCTCACTGTGACCTCCACCTTCCGGGCTCAAGCCATTCCTTCTGCCTCAGCCTCCTGAGTAACTGGGATTACAGACATGCACCACTACGCCCTGCTAATTTTAATTTTTTAGTAGAGACAGGGTTTCTACATGTTGGTAAGGCTGGTCTCAAACTCCTGACCTCAGGTGATCCGCTTGCCCCGACCTCACAAAGTGCCAGGATTAGAGGCGTGAGCCACTGCGCCCGGCCTCCCCGGCCTCTCCTTTCACTTTTCAGTCCTATATATTAAACTGATGGTAAGCTGTTTTTCCTCCAGGTGCCAACACTTCCATCTTCAGTTTGTATTACAATACCAGCCCTTCCAGCAACTCCGGGGGACTCCAAAACTCGCCTGGACTCAGTAGCCCAAGAGTTCATTCCTCTAATTTTAGGGGACTCAGTGCCCCTGGTCAGCATGAAGTAGATACAGAAACATGACCTCCACCCCTCTTCCCTCATGAATGAGGAGTGGAATACGTTGGCAGGGGGTTGGGGGCACAGTTTGTAAATGGGTAACTCTATCAGACCAAATCTAGTTCAACTGGCGTTTTTTGTTTGTTTGTTCTGAGACGGAGTTTCGCTCTTGTTACCCAGGCTGGAGTGCAATGGCGCCATCTCGGCTCACCGCAACCTCCACCTCCTGGGTTCAGGCAATTCTCCTGCCTCAGCCTCCTGAGTAGCTGGGATTACAGGCACGCGCCACCATGCCCAGCTAATTTTTTTTGTATTTTTAGTAGAGATGGGGTTTCACCATGTTGACTAGGATGGTCTCCATCTCTTGACCTCGTGATCCACCCGCCTCTGCCTCCCAAAGTGCTGGGATTACAGGCGTGAGCCACCGCGCCCGGCTGCAACCGGTGTTTTTTGTTGGTTTTTTTTTATGGAGTTTTACTCTTGTCGCCCAGACTGGAGTGCCATGGCGAGATCTCAGCTCACTGCAATCTCCCGGTACCCTGAGCATGCCCAGATTAACCAAGCGTGCAACCACGGAGCGAAACCTGAAGGCAATGGCGCGATCTCGACACACCGCAACCTCAGCCTCCCGGGTTCAGGAGATTCTCCTGCCTCAGTCTCCGGAGTAGCTGGAATTACAGGCATGCGCCACCACGCATGGGTAATTTTTGTATTTTTAATAGAGATGGGATTTCACCGTTTTTAGCAAAACCCCGTCTCTCCTTACCTCAGGTTCTTGAACCCTGGACCTCAGGTGAACCACCAGCCTCAGCCTCCCACAGTGCCGGGATTACAGGCGTGAGGCACCGCTCCAGGCCTCAGTTCAACTTTGATGTAATAAAGTTGTCAGTTGCTTTTCAATTGCCATGGACTCCCAGGTTGAAGGTCACATACCCTGAGCATGCCCAGATTAACCAAGCGTACAACCACGGACTGGAACCTAAGAGCTCGGGCTGAGGAGACGCGACGGGATCCCTTTAAGAAGCGGACTCCCCACGGCAGGAGCCAGGAACCAATCAGATTGAGTTTTGGTATCACCCCATGGCAGGATCCAGTCAGATCACACCTCTTATCATTCTTCATTGCAAGATCCAATCAAATCCTAAACTTATAAAATCTCACACAGCCCCCCCAGCTGGGAAAGGGAGATTTATGCATCTCCTGTGTTCTTGCCAGTTGACTTACACAAAAGCTTTATTTCTCTCTCTTTCCCTCTCCGGAGTTTGGCTCTTATTGCCCAGGCTGGAGTGCAATGGCATGATCTTTGCTCACTGCAACCTCTGCCTCCTGGGTTCAAGCAATTCTCTTGCCTCAGCCTCCCAAGTAGTCGGGATTACAGGCACCCTCCCCCACGCCCAGCTAAATTTGTATTTTTTTTTTTTTGAGACGGAGTTTCGTTCTTGTTACCCAGGCTGGACTGCAATGGTGCGATCTCAGCTCACCGCAACCTCCGCCTCCTGGGTTCAGGCAATTCTCCTGCCTCAGCCTCCCGAGCAGCTGGGATTACAGGCATGCACCACCGTGCCCAGCTAATATTTTGTAATTTTAGTAGAGACGGGGTTTCACCATGTTGACCAAGATGGTCTCGATCTGTTGACCTCGTGATCCACCTGCCTCGGCCTCCCAAAGTGCTGGGATTACAGGCTTGAGCCACCGCGCCCGGCCTAAATTTGTATTTTTGGTAGAGATGGCTTTCTCCCATCTCTACAGTGGTCAGGTGGGTCTCAAACTCCGGACCTCTGGTGATCCGCCCGCCTCCGCCTCCCAGAGTGCTGGATTACAGGCACGATGTGTGTCTGGCATGGTTTGTGCGCTTGCACTTGCAAGGATGTGGACCAGCTGCACCACCTTTGCTTCTGTCTCCATCCCGCTGCTTCACAATAATCATTATGCCAAAGCTGCAACTGTCCCCAGAATCTGATGTGACATTGAAGCTTCTCCTGAAACCTACTGAGGAGCTTGTAAGAAACTGATTTGGCACACACATGGTCCCCACTGCATCTTATCTCAACCCACAATGAGATTTTTTTGGTTTTTTTTTTTTCGAGGCAAAGTCTCATTGTCACCCAGACTGGTCTTGAACTCCTGGGCTGAAGCCATTCTCCTGAGTAGTGGAGACTACAGGCACACACCACCACACCAAGCTAATTTTTTTGTGTTTTGTTTTATTGTGTAGAGATGAGATCTTGCTATATTGCTCAGGCTGGTCTCAAGCTCCTGGGCTCAAGCGATCCTCCTGCCTTGGCTGGGATTACAGGCATGAGTTGCTGCATTCAGCCCCCTACCTCTCCCTTTTTGGCTTAACCCCACCAAGATAAAGGGAACATGAATATAGTTGAATGTAGAAGAGAGATGCCCACACAGTGTCAGGAGAAACATTACTAATGGCAAAGCTTGGCAGAGCAAAACTGAGCCCACCTCCTGCATAGACAGACGCCTCGGGAGAGGAGTCAAGGAGGAAAAGGCTCTGGGATTGGAGGAAACATGCACCCCAGAGGGTGAAGACGCGGAGCAGGCTGCAAACAGGACCCATTCAAAGTCAGAGTAAAGGCTGGGCACAGTGGCTGATGCCTGTAACCACAGCACTTGGGGAAGCCAAGGCAGGAGACTCTCTTGAGCCCAGGAGTTCAAGACCAGCCTGGGCCATGTAGTGAGAACCCCACCTCTACAAAAAATAAAAATAGGAAAATTAGCTGGGTGTGGTAGAGCAAACCTGTAGTTCTAGCTACTCAGGAGGCTGGGGTGGGAGGATTGCTTGAGCCCAGGAGCTGGAGGCTGCAGTGAGTTATGATGGCACCACTGGACTCCAGCCTGGGGACCTGGGCCAGATCCTATGTTTGCTTGTTTTTAAAGTCCAAATGGGCCAGGTGTGGTGGCTCACGCCTGTAATCCCAACACTTTGGAAGGCTAAGGCAGGCAGATCACATGAGGCCAGGAGTTCGAGACCAGGCTGAACAATATGGTGAAACCCCCTCTTTACTAAAAATACAAAAATTAGCTGGGCATAGTGGTGTGCATCTCCAATCCCAGCTACTCAGGAGCCTGAAGCAGGAGAGTGGCTCGAACTCAGGAAGCAGATGTTGCAGGGAGCCGAGGTTGTGCCACTCTTAGGCTTGGGCGAAAGAGCCAGACTCTGTCTCAAAAAAGAAAGAAAAAAAGTCCAAATGAAGAGCATAAAACATGAGACCCCTCTCTACACTGTGGGCTGGGTGGTCGCTCACCCCAGCCTGGAAGAGGGAAAGGAAAGGTCTGAACTTTGAGGTGCTGAAAATGGTTCCTCTCTAGAAAGCTGTACCCTGGCCAGCGACACCACAGCTGTGTCTCCCAGAGCTGGAAGCATCCTCACTCACACCTCAGGGAGAGAGGACAGTATTCCCAGGTGCACATCCAAACCCACCCAAGGGAAAAGTCCTCAAGGTGAGGGTCCTGCCTCTGTCTCCAGGACAAGTGTGAGGAGCCCTGCCTCCTGGTGGTCGCACTCAGAACTGTATCGCCAACACCTGCTGGTTCCTCCCAGAAATACCCCCTGGGTTGCCTTAGGACCCCGGGACACTGCAGGCAACGTAAGTGCTCTTGTGGGTTACAGTATAATAAGGAAGATGGGCAAACACCTTATTGAAATAGTTGGCTGGGTGCAGTGGCTCATGCCATTGATCTCAGCACTTTGGGAGGCCGAGGCAGGCGGATCTCCTGAGGTCAGGGGTTCAAGACCAGCCTTTTTCTAGTAAAAGTACAAAAATTAGCCTGGTATAGGGGGCCTGTGGTCCCAGCTACTTGGGAGGCAGAGGCAAGAGAATTGGTTGAACCCGGGAGGCGGAGGTTGCGGTGAGCTGAGATTGTGCCATTGCACTCCAGCCTGGGTAACAAGAGTGAAACTCCGTCTCAAAAAAAAAAGAAAAAATACTTTAGTGAAGAGGAGATCTTGCTGTGTTTCCCAGGCTGGTCTCGAATTCCTGGCCTTAAGCTCTTTTCCCACCTTGGCCTGTCAAAATGTTGGGTTTACAGGAGTGAGTCACCATGTCTGGTGTGAACGTCTCTTTTAAATGAATCTTACATACTCTGATGTTCTCCCTTCAGGGATGGTTCCTTTTGGGCTGTGGGTGCTGGGGACTGAGTTCAAAGCTCTTGATAGAATTCACCAACTGAGGCTGGGTGCAGTGGCTCAAGTCTGTAATCCCAACACTTTGGGAGGCTGAGGCAGGTGGATCGCCTGAGGTCAGGAGTTCTAGACCAGCCTGGCCAACATAGTAAAGCCTTGTCTCTACTAAAAATACAATAATTAGTCGGGCGTGGTGGTGCACATCTGTAATCCCAGCTACTCAGGAGGCTGAGACACAAGAATCACTTGAACCCAGGAGGCAAAGGTTGCAGTGAGCCGAGATCACACCATTGCACTCCAGCCTGGGCAACAAGAGTAAGGGTTTGTCTCAATAATAACAGTAATAACAACAGCAGTAATCATTGCTGTTTTTAATCCCGTTATCTCAATCCCATCAGTACTGAGAGGGAATACAGGGCTATTGCCAGGGAAGTTGGGGGCCATGTCAGTGTCTCCGAGTCACTGTCCAGGAAAGCATGGAGGAAGAGTTGGGGCTGGGGCTCAGGGGACTGAGAAAGGGAAAAGGGAGACGGGGGCTGGAAATGGGCATCCAGGGTCTCAGAATCACAGAAGCCAGGAGGTGGTGCTTGTCTATTACATGCCTCTGCCACCCAGATCCCTGCGTTTTCTTCTCCTGTTTCCCACTGGTTATTTAATCTCTCCAGATAAGTCTTCCATCCTGAGATTTCCCAGGATAGACCATAACAAGCATGATGAGCAGAAGCAAAGTAAAAGGAGTTTTTATTCATTAAGACTTCCTGGGCGGGGCGTGGTGGCTCATGCCTGTAATCCCAGCACGTTGAAAGGCTGAGGTGGGAGGACTGCTTGAGGCCAGGAGTTTGTGGCCAGCCTGAGCAATATCTTGAGACCCGCTCCCCCCCCCATTTCTACAAGTAATTTTAAAAATTAGCTGGGTGTGGTGTGCCCAACTGTGGTCCTGGCTACTCAGGAGGCTTAGGTGGGGAGAATCACTTGAGCCTGGGAAGTTGAGGCTGCAGTGAGCTGTGATTGTGCCACTGCACTCCAGCGAGGAAGACAGAGACCCTGTCTCTACAAAATATAAGACTTCCTAAATACAGGGACCACTGCAGCAGACGTTTTCTATACATCATTTAAATTCATCACGAAAAGAGGCTCACGCCTGTAATCCCAGCACTTTGGGAGGCCAAGGCAGGTGGATCACCTGCCTCAGGAGGCTGAGGCAGGAGAATTGCTTGAACCCAGGAGGCGGAGGTTGCAGTGAGCTGAGATTGCACCATTGAACTCCAGCCTGGGTAACAAGAGTGAAACTCCGTCTCAAAAAAAAAAAAAAGAAATGTACTATACACTGTTGTTAATTACATTCACCAAGCTGTGCAATAGTTCTCCAAAACGCATTCCTCCTGTCTAACTGAGATTTTGTACCCTTTGTCCATCATTACCCCCTTTCCTCCAACCCCCATCCTATCTTAATAGCATTCTTAGGAGATGAGATATTCTAGCCCTTTTTTTGTTTTTTGTCTTTTTGAGATGGAGTCTCGCTCTGTCATCCAGGCCAGAGTGCAGTGGTGTGATCTTGGCTCACTGCAACCTCCACCTCCCGGGTTCAAGCAATTCTCCTGCCTTAACCTCCTGAGTAGCTGGGATTACAGGCATGCGTCAGCACACCTGGCTAATTTTTATATTTGCAGTAGAGACGGGGTTTCACCATGTTGCCCAGGCTGGTCTTGAACTCCTGACCTCAGGTGATCCACCCAACTCATCCTCCTAAAGTGCTGGGATTACAGGCATGAGCCATCACACCTAGCCATAACCCTTCTTCTTTTTTTTTTTTTTTTTTTTTTGAGATTGAATCTCCTCTGTTGCCTAGGCTGGAGTGCAGTGGTACGATC